GGAGTTAAATCATTGAAATAATGGCTCCTTTCTATTTCTTGGAGATTTTGTGCTCATGCACAACATGATCACACTGTAAGCTAAGTGGATAAAAAATTACAGGTGCTAGGTGCTTAATGAGTGCCTGGAAGATGTCCCACCACACTCATACAAAAATTCAAACAAAGAGTGGTACCGGTAACAGTGAAATTAGTCTCATGTGTACGTGGACTCAATGCACGCATGAGAGCCCCCGCTTAGTAACCTAGCAACAATATCTCTCGGGGCGGATGCATTGTGTAAACGCACCTGTTTTGTGTACATGTTGGACACAACATGCTTCAGTAAACCACAGGGCCAACCACCCCTTGTTAATAGAGATGAGCTAAGCCTCCTTGTACGCAAACGGTGGTATTTTCTTATGATGCAAGGACACTACTCAATACATCCAGGCACTATGAGAATTGTTTTACAAATGGATTGGCAACTCCTGCTTTGCTGAATATCAATTAATAAGTTACCTAAGAAATATAAAGTGGTAATAATAATGATGATGGTATCCTGGAAGTTACAAACATGATGATTCATACGTTTTTGAGTACATCTTGAACTTGGCATGTACCGGTACATGTACTTCTAGAATTCCCTCATTTCTTTCATAAAAAAGAAATCTATCACATGCTCATATTCCGATGCATTCCTGTCATGCAAGGATACTGCAGAAATGTAACTAGTTCACTGAATACTGGTCACGTGCACTCTGTGCCATCATGTACAAACCAAAGGTACTGTACGATGTCCTTCATTGACAAGAGTGAGTTAGGCCACAAAGTACCCCTTCCTGCAGAGACGGTATCATAATTGCCGAGTTTTACTCAGAATGGAGCTAACACTTACTAGGTCCTTACGTTCCCGGTTCAATGGTACTGTATACACTAATTAATGGCAACTGTTATGAAATTGGTGAATACATACATCCTGTACAACATTATCCTAATTTTTTTGTTTACCTCTAAGAAGATGCCACGGTAACGTAGAATCATTGTCTAGAATGCAAAAGAATTCGGCAACTGTTTATCTTGACCCTCCTTGCTGGCAAAACTACATGTAGATGCATCTCAGAAGGTGCTCACAGACCTTGAAAAAAGAAACATAAATATCCATACACGTACATGTATACAAACAATGAATGTTCATGGTTAAGAATAATCGAATAAGGTGACAGATTAAAAGTTCTATTCCATGAGGCCAAGCTGAGTAGACCACATGTACATCAATTTGTCAATGAATGAAACTATTTTTTTTACCATGGCTACAGTTACGGCAACTGTAGACTGATGGCAGTCTACTTCTATTGCACAAATTTGCAGCACTGGAAACAGGAACCAGACCAGCCAGGAATAAATGGATCACAGACTTTCTTCCTGTTTTTTATTGTACCACACTATGAATATTCAAATGGAAGAAACAAATATTTGATAATGAATTGAATATTTGAATATACATGTATTTTAGCACAGGCCTGAAGCGCTGTAATTAGCATGGCTACATGTACATGTCAATCACGGGACACTGCACATATGCAGTAAGTGCTTCGCTTCTCAATCCTGTTGTCAAAAGCCAAGGAAATCCGTCATTGTTTTGAATGATAAATACCACTGTTTGTGGCATTCAGTGCTGGTAGATTACCACCGGGGACAAAAACACTCCAGAGCTCCAGGGATGAGTGATACTATACCGCTGCACGCTAATCTGGTGTGCATTTGAAAAGACGCCAGCAGTGCACTGTGTCAGTTTTGAGAACAAAAGAAAATTACGCAACACAGCACAATCTGGGCTCTCTTTACATGGTGGCAGGCCTGGCTAAAATACTTAGGTGTCAATAGATTGGGTCTGTCAGATTAGAGTAGCAACCAGACAGTCATTCGTGTAGATGTAAACGTCCAGTAAATGAAGTTATATGAATTTTTGAAGAATTTTGGAGATGGAAAATCTTGAAAATCCCCCAGGAATACATCGTGCAACTTCCAATAAAACACAGCACCATATAGATAATGCCATCCAAGGTCACCAACCACTGGAGTTACACAAGTTTTTTGTGACTAACAGAGTATGATGTGAATTGGTGTAGTAGACTAACAAATGTTTGTGTTGCAACAACAAAATAAAGATAAGAATTACATCATGTTCACGAACAGAAAAGGCCAGGGAATTGCCGAAATGGTGAATTATTTATTGGCTTGGGTGAGTGAAGCCGTTACCCCGAGAACTGTGGGGTTTGTCGTCTGCAAAGTGGGAGCGCAGAAGACGACAAACCTAAAATGACGAAACGTTGAAAACTGATAATTTTTCATTCTGGAGTTTTTCCTACCATTTTAGTTCCTTTGATCCAAAGAACAAATTAGCAGTTTCAAAGCAAAATGTTGTTTACTTTCTTACGGTGGTAACTGGTAACAAACAACCAACAAAAAATTTGGTCTCTATGTTTCTCTGTTTTCACATACCGGTGGTGACAAAAAGTCATCTCTGTAACTACAGCATGTACAGATTAGCATTTTCCAAGTCTTACATTTCATGACTTTGTCAAAATTCCTCAATCCGTAACATAAAAGTGATTGATACTGTCTACTGAAATGGCTGGTATTTTCAAAGGCATTTATCTTGGAATGTCCGTTTGACAAGAATTTGAAGTTTTTGTCACTTTGTGAAAACACCGATGATATGTCCGTATGTCAAAGGACACGTAGGAAGGTTTTACACAAACCCCCCAAGGCTTTCCAGTTTTGGTATAGGGCCAAGGATCTATGGAGGGAATCTATTACAGGTAGTAGACTGGCCCTAGTCCAGGCTACTTTGAGAACTCAAAGTCAATAGGCCTACTCTGCATGTACAATGTATGTTCACCCAGCCTGTGTATCAATTATGTTAATACCTAGCATTGTACGGCGCGGCGCATGACAGCGATAGCCATAATCCGGTCTTGTCTCCTGTGACTACGGCTTTGAATGTTGATCAAAAGAGGCAGTGGTGGAGAGCGGTAGCCAGGGTTCAATACTTGCGCTGCCATAGTCTCACATGGAGAGGCCACGCCGCGTGTTGCCAACACAGAGTGCAACATTAACCATTGAAACTATTTCTTGAAGGGGTTTTCTTGAACATATACTTCACATATATATTTGCAGTAGAAATTTATGACACACATGATAAAGCCAAAGGAGGAAAAGCTTTTAATATTTAAGCGATATTGAGCTATTTTATGTAACATCTTCATTAGAAGCCAGTATCAATCCTTCACATATAAACCGATTTTTATCGACACTATTAAACCCCACTGAATTCTACACTATTCGAACATCAACTGGACTTCCGGCTACACAATAAAACCCTGTGACAGAATAAAATTACAGTATCTTGTCTGTGTGCGTATTTTCTGTGTTTAATTTTAGGTAGTTTTGCTCATACTTGAAGTGAGCATGTTCCCACAAAATTTCCTGCCGCAGCGCGCCGAGGTTTATCCGTGCAAGGGCACCTGCCTGGATGCATCGACAACTACCAGAATGACGTGTACAGAATTGAGTATCGCTTTGAAATAAACTTGAAGAGGATGAGAAATAAACCCTATGCTAGTTCAACCATATGTATTAATTTGCCATGGACAACGCAGTCGACATTAATTTAGTGAATGCCGGAAAATTTTCTAGAAACATATAAACTCCATGCCATTTGTGGAACTCCTCTCTCGACCATTCTTTGAAGAGGCTAGTGCTTGTAACACACTCGAGCACGGATGGGGCGAAGTAGAAATGGGGCCGAAGCCGGGATTAGGTGAAGTGTTTAGGGGCGACATGGAAATGGGGCAAAGTCATTGTAAACTAAAGCCTCACATTATGTCACCCCACCAGAGTGTAGGGAAGGCAGTGTTGCCAAAACGGCAAGTTAGGTGACAAAAAGATGACTAAGAATCAAATTATTGTTCGAGTTAAATAATAAGCTCTGAGCAGGCTCTGATTTCTGTGAAGGTACAAGTTGTCTCGTACGCAAAGGTACGAGTTGTCTTTACCACTACTAGAGGTACGAGTTGTCTAAGGCATGCAAGGTGCGACTCGGCAAAGGTACGAGTTGGTAGTAAATGGCACAGTTATGTTGAGTGGATGGTAAGAGCATGGTAAGAGTTGTCCATGGTACGAGTTGTCCAAGGTACGAGTTGTCCAAGGTACGAGTTAACCTCCCCCCCCCCTCAGTTCTGGGGGTAGGCCTAGTAGTAGTAGTACCAATGCAATGGCCTAGCCTACGACGTTGGTAGGCCAACAAAACTTCACGTGGAACGTGGCCCGTTCGTATACGTAAAAACAAACAAAACAAAAAAGACAAACTTTCAATTTCGACTTTTGACTTGCACCCTTTCACCACAAATTCCATCAGTAAGAAATTCAATAGGAGCCAGCGTACTAACAAGTTCTGAACAAAACACTTTCACTTTCAGCTTGTCTGAATTCTTTCACTTACAAGCACACTTACCGACCTCTTTTATCGTCTGCAAAAAATTAAATATTTCAGGTCGCTAAGAAGACGGCCGCCATGTTCTCGCGGTGTGGATCTGGAACGCCACACTGCGCGGTCACTTGAGGGGGTACTTCACTGTAAAACTCAGTCAAACTGTGGTCAAAAGCTTGGCCAATAGTACCCTTATGAATACATTGGATGAAAGTACACGTATTTCTAAGAAAGTATTTAGATCTTGTTGCATTACAACAAGTTGAGCTACCTTCATTGCATGTTTTTGTTTAAAGATACAAGGAATCTGTCTATAATAGAAATCTATGTAATAAGCCCCTGTCAACCCAACGCACACATAAAATATTGAGTCCCTCCAACCCAACAATAGGAATCAAAATGTTCAAGTGTGTATCATGTACTCTCATACATGTACACCCTTCAGATTTCTGGCAGATCCAAAGCACTGTTTTCAAGCTCATTTTGTAACCAGAATGACATTCAAAATTACACATGACGGGACTGAATAAAATGAGATCAAATTTATGCTATGTTTTATTGGAATGAGCTCCACATCATGCTTACAACACCAAGCAGTTAAACTGCAACAATGGCTTTCCCATCATTACAAGTGCCTCCTCAAAGACTACTGTAGCCTGCTGGAAAAAGTTGGTTTTCATTACCACTCTCCTTAACCTCTCAGCATGTTACAAAAAGATTGTTCCATCAACCCCTTCCAGATCTACACGTTCATGCATACTTGACCCAAGTAAACTTGCGAAGTTTTTCACAAGTTTTTTTCAAAATGAGTATGCAGAGTGTTGAATATACGTTGGTGTAAGGGCAAAATCTATAATTAAAATTCATATCTAATGACTTGTGTGTCAAAGATTTGGGATTGGGCTATATTCCATTATAACACCTCACCAACGGATTCTGTATCTTGATTGGCCAAGAGCAAATCACATGGCACTCACAAATTTGTTACACCCATAGCAACCAAAGAACTGCATGCGTATCAACAGGTATTCCATGATAATGTACAAGGGCATGTGTGCTATGAGCACTCCCAAATAAGTGCTGGTTCAAAGTTTTCGATAATTTGAAAAAGTGGTCGTGAAGTTAAAAAAAACTGTATGCATACTTATGAATATAGATTAAATAAAGTAGTTATCAATTTAAATCAAGCCAAATACGTAGGCGAGGTGTTATAAAACAATTAATAACTGCCTCATAGTGTCATAAAACTAGCCTCCCTCGGTGATCAATGGAGTACATGATGATATTAATGATATTTATATTTCTCTGTGGCAAATGTACATTTGTGTATCTAATTTTTGTCCACAATGACAACACTGAATAAACGTCCTCCTCTAAGTCTGTCTTAATATCATAAAAAAGTTCTTTGATTACCTCAGGAGGCTAGTTCCACTACACCACTTGAAGTAGTCAATGGTTCCTTTACATGCCTTCGGCTCAACCACTTGCAGTCGAGTGAGTAGTCTGTGCTCTTCATAATTCAGGCCTCATGGCTAAAAGTAATGAACATTTGTATTCTGCCAAAGGATTCAGCCAAAATTACCAGGACTTCAATGCATTGTGGAAGTTACTCCAGAAGTGTTGCAGTCCATTCAAGAACCCAAAGATAAAATGAATTCAACTTAAACAGATGACAGGATTTTTAATCCAATTCTAAAACAAAAGCTCCAAGAGGACATTTTGGACCCTGGTTGAAATAGATTAGATTCTGGATTGTAAAACACTTCTATCACACTTCTCTTGGGCTCTCATACAGAGAGTATCCATGTCAGTCTAACATTACAGGCTTTAAATGTGTAGCTAGACCTGCAATATGTCCACAATAATCAAGACAGTGGAAAATCGGTCCAGACTTCAAGCTATTAAGCCATGTCTAAATCAAGTACTCTGGATATCACGGCTCAGGTTTTTCACACTAGCACACCACAGGGGGAGGCCATAGCCACTGACAATAATGCCCATTTTACAAATGGTCTTAGTCTGTTTTCAAGTTTGGGATTCACACTGACTTCACAATCATTTTCTGCTTTACTTGAGTCTAGACTTGAGTGAGAAGACGCACTGCAGGTTCTTCTTTTTAGCTGGTTCATCAATGAAGTATTTGTTGTAGCCAAGTCCTCATAAGACCACAAGTTAATCTCAAGTAATCTAGTCTCAAGTCTTAAGCTGTGACAGAAGCACGTCTTTGTCACTGTTCACCTTGTGATGAGCTCATAATTTTGCTTGTGACTGAGCTCAGATTTGACTGTGATGGACTTGAGTGCACACCCGCTGAATTTACAAGACAGTCCACTGTTCACACTTCAAAATGCAGTTTGCAACAACTGATGCCACATACACTATGCTAGTTGGATGGGGTTACTGACACTCCAGAATCATGTAAACCGTTGCCCATTATGCAACGTTGAATTGACAAAGAATAGAAAAGGTTTGCAAAATACCTGAGGGTTACCAACAGCCATTCTATAAACTGCACACTGCTTTCATAGAAACTGCATATGAGCGAGTAGAAAATACGAATGAGTAACCAATGAAACTGAAATATAGTTTGAAAACTAACCAAAAGGTGTACATAAAAATAAACCTCTTCACAAGTACACAAAGCGATGGGTTGCAATATCAATTGAAAAAAGATTGAAGTGCGAAACTTGTAACAAATGTGACTAACACGCTTCAACTAGCGCTTAAAGACTTGAATGCTGTTGAACAGAATATAAAAAAATGATAGTGACCCTTCCATCATATAAAAACAGATTATTTGTTTAATGCGAAAGATGTAGGTATGACACTGTTGTGTCTTTTTTCCATTTTTACTTTTCACTGAATACGTATTTCCACGTGGCTTCCACAACATCCACAATAAAGTTTTATTTTGTTCTCCAACTTTTCAGATTAAGCTGACAAAAAAAACACAATACGCCCATCAAAATACTGATAATCGAATAAATGTTAGGATTCTCATAGCACCACTGAAGCAATTAGGAGGCCTTCAGGGGAGCCAGCAAACAATGAACAAAGATTAACAAAACTTAGTCCTTCCAATTCCAGGGTATGCACAATTCCCCACCCCACAGCACCATGTAGACGTGACCGACCAGTATGCTGGTGTCCTGCAACGACGCGCCCAGCTCAGCAGGACTCTCCATCAGTCTCCTGCAGCACAACATCATTTCCTCAGTGGACACAGAATCTTCTTTGGTCAAAGTCGCCAAGTCTAGCTCCTCCACACACGTCTGAACAACAGCAATCTCTTCCAGGAGTTTTCTGGGAGGATGAACAGAGACAATTTTTTTTTCCCTGTTACGGAATTGTTTGATTGGTTTGCATGCACAAAAAGAAGCATGTCAAAGGTCATTCAAGAACATTCACACACACCTGTGCGGTTGACCCTAACAGCGCAGTCATAGACTGACTCGCACTTACCGAGCATGTCTGAGCTGGCGTGACGTCAGGCTGATTATTAAGTCTCACACATAAAAAAAAAGATCCTGAAAAACTCTTTGTTTACCTCTGGTAGTGCCTCTTGAGGTCTTTGACCCTGAATCCATTGTCAAGGAGAAAGCTGATGAGGTCTGGTGGTTGGCTGGAAGCAGGAACGTGAAGTGCACCTCTTGAAGACACATACATCCGACCTGAATCACTGCAGGGGAGAGAAGAGACCATACTATTTGTGGTCCAAAACGCAAGTCTATCATATCTGGTCCTTTTTTATTCCAAATTATGCTACATACGCTTGTCACAAAGGCTTAATGCACTTTCAGTTAAGAAATGAAAAGGATTAACAAGTTGCTCAACATTTACTTGATTAGAAAAGCAGTAAGAGGCACTGTGTTAGAGGCACGTAAAATTACTGTCCCTCTTTGGAAATCCACATATATAAGGTAGTTTGGAATGGGTCGGGAGATTTATGCTGTAATAATTAGGAATACAGGAACAGACAATTGTGAAGTTTCACAAGGAAATGGATTTTTTGTTAGTGCGTTGGAGAGGTCATCAATTTCTGTGGTCTTGTGATGTACTCATCTGTTGATTTTCACGTGCTGTTCCTTTGATAGATTCCATGATGTGCAAGATCAAGTTTATTAAGATAAATCTCTGAACATGTATTTGTCATTTGTATGCATTTTGAAGTAAGATTAGCTGGGTAAATGAGGCCTCCATTGGAAGCTGTCAGTTTGGATTACTTTTTCTTTCGGGAACAGGGTTGGTTTTCTAAATGTGTACACGTACACGAGGTGAAACAATGACCAATTATGGTTACGAAAGGCAAAACATATGCATATACCTAACTAGCTGCGTGCAGAACCTCTTTAATACCTCCTCGAAGAGACAAAAATAATGCATCCTGAGATTTCATGAGGGTAGACCCGGTTACACTGCATCTGCCTACCTGACAACATTCATTTCCACGTTGGCAAGGAGTCCTCTCGAGATTCTCTGGCAGTCGCGCTGTCCTTCCACAGTCTGGCGGTACCTCTGGAGTCCTGCAATCATCTTCCGCAGCAGGCCCAAGTAGGCCGGCGCTGGCATCGGGTTGCGGCAGCAGCGTCTGGACAATCTCAGGCTGCCCCCGAGGAGATCCGAGAGCTGCTGCTCGGCCACAGACAGGTGGTCTAGGACTTTCATCTGCTGGGGCAGGCTGCTTAGGAACTTTGCAAAAATGAAAGGGGTACTGTCAGATGATGTAAAATGATGCAAATTTTGATTAAGTTGTTTCTGTTTCTGCTTTGACTTTTCTCCAAATATTTTCACACTGTTTGTGGCCTGCTGAAAGTAAGCTGTGCCACCCAGCTACAGACAAGTGGTCCAGAACTTTTTATCTGTTGGGGCAGGCTTCTCAGGAACTCTGCAGAAATTAACGAGATACTGTCAGATGGGTGACATTAACAGCTGCTAATTTTGATGAAGGGATTTGGTGTTTCTGTTCTGACTTGTCCAACATTTTTTATTCGGTGCGCAGCCTACTGTCAGAGACATCATGTGACACAAGGAAGCGCTGGTAGATGGGATGGGATATCAGTAAGGACCTGCTCAAATTACTTGGCCATAGTCAGAGACAAGACCATGCTTCTATGAGGATTGCAAGAAGCTGCTAGCTTCCAGACTAACTCATGGAAGACCCATTACTGCAGTAGCACTACAATCGCATGTGCATTATCGAATTTGGGTGTGTACGCACTTTGGGAAGTCAAAATGCCCTCTCTGTCAAAGAGATATTTACCATGCGTGCACATCCTGCGTGCAAACAAGTACTATTTGGCTTCAATTTCTGGCTGTAGGATTAGTCAACAGGCACTTTTTTCTTTGTTAGCCGAGGCCTAATCATTCAGATACAGCCCAACACCAGTAAGCACTTTTGTGGCCTCTTTTGCCAACATCAATCAAATTGTGCCACTAAACGCAGCAGTTCTGCCAGCAGAGTGGCCAACTTTTAACATCCACAATCCAACTCTTTTCCAAATGATTTGTGCTTCACCAAAGACGGTTAAGAAGTGTGAACGAATCCCTTGAATATACTCACTGCAAGCCACTGCTGTTCTACACTTTTAATGCACAGCATCACGTCACCCTCTCTTGACACTCCACTCCAGTTTCCGAGCACTAACTTCTTTCCTGATAAAACGCAACAGCAATTTAAAGTGGTGAGGACGTCGAAAATATTTCATCATAAGAGAGTAATTTAAACTGAAACTCAAACATACAAAAGGCAATTATGCCAACATTCATCAGAAGCCATGTTCAAAACAGGCATTCTTGTTTACAGCTGAGGCTGTTTACTGTGGTACCCTTATGATATATTGTAATCCATAGCCACTGGCATGAAATGGACCTTAATCAGGTGGACTCCATTTTTTATCTTATTCCCTGAATCTGTTTTATGAATTGCAAACTGTCAATGAGGATGGCACCAGACTTTTTTATAATTGCCCTGTGTTCCAAGCCACTCTTTCATTGTTTTTCTAAACCTAGTTTAAAACACAAAGATATGTTTTAGTATGTTTACTCACAAATGTGCATTTATGCATTAGAGTAGGAAGGTGTAAGTTGTCATGAAATTTCATTTTATTGCTTTCATTTCTACTCTGTTCTCAATGAACAGTTACATTTTTAATATGGCCGACCCATGAATAAAAGTCCATACCAGATTCCAAGACATAGCATGACTCTGAGGACTTATGAGCTATGCTAGATTAAATAACTGGGACACAGTGTTTGACAATCTACACCCCTACCCACCTCTCAGATTGTCCATGATTTCAGGGTGTTCCCGATGCAGCTTTCCAACTGACCTAAGGCATGCCCTGAATGTATTGACGTCCCACCTAGACATCCACCTCAACTCCTCCAAGCCCAGTTCCTCTTGGAGACTCTCGTTCAGACGCTCCGTCTCCTGGCGGATAGGGAGACTGGACTCTTCATTCTTCCTGGCTATAGAGACGTTTGTCCTCAGCCAGTTTCTGCAGGTAGGGACAACCATCCGCAGATGTCAATGTGACAATTTGAAAAGGTGACTGACTTTGAGGCATCCAAACTTTTGAATACCGAATGACTAGACCAGTGGTTTGCAGATGAATGTCATTATGCATGTCTACCATGTCAGAACCAAGGACTGCAGATGGAACAACATTCAGTGATTGATAGAAGTTGTGAACTGTTGTATGACAGCTTATCAGACATAGTCATTTAATCTCAAAATGTGGTTCACAGTTTGTAATGTCAGTGCAACAAGGTCATAACTCTCCCTTGTTTTGTACACGAGATACGACCTTGTTGCTCAAACGTGACGAGTTGTTCCAATCTGTGTGATTTCCCATATTTATTTAGCTTTAAAAATTGGTACAATATTAGTTGCAGTTTCATCTTTCTACAACTTTGACAGAACAGCAAGGTTTTTCTAGATTTCAAAGTACAAAATATGCTATCCGAGCCCCCACCTAAGAGAATCTTTAGCTGGCTGGTGTTTGGCATACACCTCTGCATAGGGGTCCTTCTTGCCGGTGTAGGCATAGTAGGAGTGGTGCCATTCCACCGGCCTGGGAAAGGGAAGGGGCCTGTGTGCCGAGAGCTCCTGGAGGCTGTTGGTTGGCAGACTGCACGTCTCTAGGATGTTGCTGACGGTTGTGTAGATGTCTCTCGCCAACAGGCTGACTGTGACGGATCGAAAAACAGACTGACCTAATAACAAAAGCGACAACAACAATTAACCCATAAGAGGAATATCCTTGACATAGGTGTGCATTACCAGGACTTTTTCCACGGGGGATAAACAGGAATTTTTCAGGGGGGGGTGGGGGAGGCAAAGCATTCAGCAGCAGCAAACTGATAAACCATTAATGGTTGGAGGCAGATTTTTAGGTATTTTCAAGCAAATTGGGCATTTTCATCCTTTCCTTTTTCTTCTCATTCCTCTTGTTTCTTCTCTTTTTTACATTTTAATTTGGATTATTTCTTCCAGGGAGGGAGGCCTAGCATCCCCCTCCTTGATCTTTCCCTTTCAAAACCCATGCATCCAGACATAAACATTACTTTCATATTTACAGCTTCAAGTGCTCTGCACAGATCCCAGGTGAGTCAGGTTGGCGTAGTGGTTCTTTCCTCACTTTTCACCTCTGCCGTCCGGCTTCGATTCCCGGCTCAGTCTACATGTGCATTGAGTTTTCAGTCCCTACCTGATTCCGTGGGTTTTACTCTGAATATTCTCCTGGGGTTTACCTACCACCTCTAAAACTGTTACTGCTTCTCACTGTCTCCTCTCTGCAGATGTGGGCTGTTTGGCAGCTGCCTGAGGTGCCCTTGTGAGCCTTTGACCCACATTGTAAATTTGAGGGCCTCCATGGAAAACAGTGCTGCGCATTGATCAGAGTTTAAAACTAATTTAAAGATCACATAAATAAATCTCATTTCATTTTGTTACTTTCTTCATGAATACCTTGCTTGGATGGCTGTACTCCTCCACCATTGCGCAGGTAGAAAGTAAGATCCTTAGGGGTCACCTGCACAGATTTATCTCTGATGTTTTCTAAGTGTGCATACAGCAGCTTAAGGGAATGTTCATTCACAGCCTTCAGGGAGCAGAGAATAACAAACACAACAGTCATTTCCAAAAGTTTAGGACCACCCATACAGAATGCATCAACCTGAAGAAAAGCTACACTTAAACCAATCAATCACGGCAACTTATGTTTATTTCAAGGTGTAACCTTAGTATCTTGTTTAAACAGCTATTTGACTACATTTCCATAATTTGAAATGCCAACACTCTAATATTTAGTGTGTCCTCTTTTATTTCTGATCACTTAGACTGGGTTTTTTTACCCATGCTGCCTTACAGACAAAATGTCATACAAGACCTGCCTTTGCAAAAAAATTTCATTCAAATGGGTATATAGCACTACACCAACGTTATGCACCACTGTAAAATTATGTTAAGTAATCATTCAATGAGACAATGTAATGCAGGCCCAGTGACAGAAATACCAATAAAATTCCAGGTGACTTACTTGTTCCTTGGGATGCTGGCCGAAAAAGTCCGGATGGACAGCAAAGATGAACGGCCTCAAGACCTCAGCTGTCTGGGCACTGGTGAGGAAACTACACTGGAGGTTCAAGGGCAGGGCCAGAAAGGGACTCCTAGAGGGTAAAAATGGCTTATATTACCAACCATACACAACCAAAGTTGTAAGGGGTGTTTGGTACAATTGGGTAATTTGTCTTACCACTGGAGTATGCAGGATGGGGCAGCAGTTATATATATACATGTATATATATATTTTTTCTGCACCCAAGTATGACTGCCAACCACAAATCATACAGCCGTTAAGGGAATGATGCCCAGACTTATTTTCCTTGATAAAATCCTTCACAGGCTCAATGACTCGGAAAGATGAGGGGATAAACCAATGACCACGCAGTGAAACTGGCCAATAGCAAAGCTCTACTGACCCCATCCAACCTGCTTTTCCCTGCCACCGGCAGCATCATGCCCAGTATAACACTCACTGCGGTATTTTACATTCAGAGCTGAAAGAAGAAACAGAGTTCCATGCCAGGACATAAACTTGACGACTGTGTGCACAGACCCCGTTAGTTATGAGTCTGAAAATTTGTGTTTCAAAGTTAATGCTTCAGTATATTTTCACTACTAAATTTGACTTTTTGGATATGTTATTAATCATTTTTGCTTTCTAATGTCTGATATGTCACTGCAGGAAAATTAGTGATATCCATGTTAAGCCCAACATAGGCCCTCAGACCCATCCCCCAGGATTCACCCATGAATGATTCACCCAAGTTAACCCATGCTAACAAAAGAGTGCTAGGGCTCCTTGTTCTGTTTTTATCAAGCCCTGGCCACAGTTAATTTAGTCACCTGTTAGTTTAGGGCATAGGGGTACATCCATGCCTGACATGGACAAAGTCATGACAACTGTGGCTAAGCACATGCACAATCATGGGGGATTGTGAATTTCAGGACCCCTTCCCCATATAGAAGAATTAGATTTAAGCTTTCTGAATTTCCTTAACTTTGAGGGAATTTATGGAGTCAACGGCAACACAGACTGTGTGTGCATGCCTCCACAGAAAATAAACATGGTGATAATGTGATAACGTGCTAGATAAAGTGTCTGTGAAGTGTGATTGGTTACTGAAAAGTTTATTGAGAGAGCCGATCTCTGATTGGTCGAGATGATACCATTTGGGGAGTAGGAGTATCAAAAAAAGCCGAAGCCCTGCCGCAAAAGTTTGCCAGTTCCTGTTTTGGACGAATTTCCCTGATTAATACATGTACCTTATTTGCATGAATAAAAGAGAGTTTAATTGATTTAAAGTTATGAGGGTGTAGGTCTGTTAGGCACAACAGCACATAATGCGCCATATGTTTGTGCGTCAACACGACTGTCTCTTCATGTTGGCAAATATAAGGTTAGAATGTCACATTTTTCTCCCAATTTAACCTTACTCTTCCAAATGCAACCCAAATAAGTCTTATTTTATTGCAAATACTGCATGGGTAATTTTGCACAATGGTAGAAAGGCACTGTGGGAAGGAAAAGGGGCAATGTTTGCTCCTTTTTCCTTCCCACAATGCCTTTCTATCATTGTGCAAAATTACCCATGCAGTATTTGTGAAAGGCTTAATTATTATTATAGGGCCACACATGGCAATCAAGAGACATTGCCCGAGTAGCCTAATACTTTTTTCAGGGTTGATTTTTATTCGTAAAAATAACTAAAAACTGGGGTCCCCAAATTCACAATCCCCCAACCATGACAATCAATCAGGCGGGTCATGACAATGAAATGTCAAGTCAACCATGTCAAAGTCAGTAAGAGCAGCCCTGGCAGGCGGCGTACATAGCGTACCTGGGAATTTAATTTGGTCGGCAAAACACAACGGACATATACGGGTAGGGAAAGCAAGCATAGGCAGGGGGACCTGGGGATTTGGTCTGCGTGAAATAGAACTTACCTGATCAATGGTGGGCGAAGAAGTCGAATGGCCCACATGTCCACTCTCTCATGCTACATCATGGTCAACTTCGTTGATGTCTGGATATTGAAGTCCTGGATTATTTACGTTTGCAAGAATATTCGACACCATCCACGAGTCATCAAGTGCGCCCCCTGTTGACGTTCACTTCTCTTGCGAAAGACTAACACCGTACCTAACTAGTATTTATCCTCGCACAAGATTATCGGTGCTACTGAGCACCCCGTCACTATTGCTCACAACCAAAGATCCTATAGCGCTGCCAAAAGATGTTTGATTACAGCGCACCATAAATTACTCCCAGCTGAGGCCTAATAACCAAGGGGATTCCTTTCCTGGGGGGCATATTCTCAACGGGTTGGTCCCCCTTCATATACATGTATTTTGAAACCATTTTGGGGATGTGGATAGAAGATAAGATTTTTAAAAATAGTTTTTGACAGTAAAAGTAGCGCGAGTGCTTTCGTTAAATGATATTATGAAGGGTATAGATCCCATCCACTTGTTGAGGGGAGGGTGGGCTGTTGAATCCCCCCCACACACAAACTTTCATGGTGAGAAAATTGCAAAGATTTTTTGGACTTCCCAACAAAACATTTAATAATGTTCAGATAAGAACAATTTCTAAAATGCATAATACATGTAACTATGCCTCTCTGACGTAAGATTCTGCATGAATACATATATTTCAGATGTATATCTGTATTTCCCCAAGTGTCAGCTTCAAATGTCCATGGCCAGGCATGTCACATCCCCCTCCCCATTCCCCATAATATCCAGTTTACAGCACTACAACCTCCCCCCCCCCCGAAAAAAGATACACGTGGCTTGGACAAAAAGGGATATTCAGGCAGAAGCAAATCAAAACATATCTTGAAAAATCCAACGTATGCAACTGTTTATTTGCCTTGCTGATTTAAACAACTTTTCATTTGGAATTATAAGAAATACTAACCCCTAACCAGTCTAGTAAAATAGGCAACACACTCATCCTCCCAAAATGGGGCCAAAATTCAAGAATGGATTCCCAGTAAAAATGATCTTGGCTGTACATGAAAAATTTGCTGAAGTTAAACATTGTATTTAACCCATTACCACATGTGTACATGTATCGCACGGTATCACACTTTGTTTATTCACTGTTTAGCCTATAAAACCAAATGGTGCTGGGTACGTTGTGCTTTGAGGCCTGTGGCCTTTTGAGGCCTCTAATTTTTTTCTCTGCCTTCCATAACCAAATTTCAAGAGCACTTTCAACAATCACACTTGATAACATATATCCTTTCAGTTAATAATAAATGTATGCTTAGCACTGGGAAACCTGAATTGATTGCTTTACTACTTTTATGCCACATATTTTAGGGCAGCTAATGAATGAGCATGATACCTACAACCCATGAGAAATATCAAAAACAGCGGAATGTGTCCATTCAATTCATTCAACCATAAAACCATTAAAATATTCACAAATAAGATCACTATTTTGCCACGTAAACATCTTGATATTCTTACTTAATGGAATTCGTCTTTTTCTAACTTTTCCTTCAAATGGAAATTGATACTTCTCAACACGGGAAAGAAAAAGTCTGCCAAAAATACTTCATTTGTACTGTGTATGGCACATCATGTAACAGCTTTCTCTTTTCATCTCTTGTTGATTTCTTTATCATACACACGTAGATTATTTACAAACATTTGTACAAATGTACATATTAATGAAACCGTTTTCACATATTTAAGACAGAAACATAAAAAACTGCAACACGGGTTTGTTTTGCTCAACTTGACATGCCTGTTCCTTGGTGACAATATACATGTACATGCACATACAATGTACACATACATGTACATACACTTGAGCCTATGCATTCAACAGGTTTACGCATGTACAGTTTCAAACATTGGGGACCAGTCATTGGCCTATGTACTGATGACTTCAATCTTTGTTTACATGCACACTTTCCAATGGAGCCAGAGGGAGCCCAAAGGTCCGCTGAACACCATAGGAAAGCACTCCCGTAAACAAAGTGTGGCAGTCATCAGTACAGAGGTCTATATCATAGAGCACCAAATATTGCTGAGCATGGCAAATATTTGCTCAGCAGATCTGGATGGAGTCAGCTACAGTCTCAGTCATTAGATATTTCTTGTGACTGGCATTCAGGTGACAGTTGTAAAGCGTGTGAATTTGGTTAGCACCAAGCAGCATTTTTTGCTTGGAAACTCAACATATTTGGGCCCTGAATGCAGAAGCACAAGGAGATTGTGAAGTTTACCTCTCCAACCATACCAGGCCTGTGTGGTTCCTGTAGGAGCAGAACGAGGATAAAACCAAATTCAATATCTACTGTTTACCACAACAAATTTGCAAATCTGTTTCCTCTAAAGAGGGCCACCCACATATGAACTTCACAGAAAATTAGCAGAAATCTAAAATTCAAGGCCTGTTAATTCTAATCTTCAAAATCAGACAACCGATGATGGACTTTCGTAGGGCCTGAGTGGTAAACAGAACTTTTTTTCTGGCTGACCAATCCTAGTGGGTTCTACAGTCCTCATGCCTTCTTATTGGGTTCTGTTTGATTTTTAGTAGGATGCTCAGGCTGTCTCCAAATCTGATATGTGTGGAGAGTGGACACAGCTTGTTTTTGCAACTGGTACACTTTGGAGTATACCCATTCGCTCTTTGCACGCTGATGCCATAGGCATGCAGAGCCGGGAACTGTCAGCTTGTACAATTGCGTCAGAATCCCTTTGTCCATTCACATGGTATAAGAACTAACGCAGCACGTGCAAAATTACATCAGTAGCATTCACAAGAATCGCTGGACCGGCTAGATTTATTGTGTAAAGCTGCCAGATCGAGGCTCTGCACGCCTTTGGCGGCAGCATGCAAAGAGCGAATAGCCATATAGACAACAATGCCCATTTTGCACACAGCCATGAAGAACACCGAGATGTTAATGAGCTCATTAAGGTCAACAGTTCAGAATTCTCCAATTTCAATATGAATTTTCACACATCCAAGGGTTTAGAGTTGAACTACACAAATGTCTAGTTGTCCAAATTGTCCCTCACTGTCTTTGACACAAGCGAATCACTGTAAATACCAGTGTAATAGTCAGATCCTTGTCAGAGTCCCTGAGTATACTGAAATATGACGTGGTAGAGTACAACTCATGACTACTCATGACTAATAATGTTGAGTTTGTAATTCAAGTGTGAGCAGACTGGTGGAATGTCTTGGCACCCATCTCGCCAGAAGTACATGTACACATATGTTAACAGTACACCAATATTTGCACATAAGGACCTACACTTCAGTCTGCTTTGCAATTATCTGCACAAATCTACCCTTTAACCGCGTGATTCAACGTGTGTCCAACAAAGAACACCACAGATGGCATTGTTTAGTTTCTTTGATTCACAAGATACCATGTTACATGTATTTTTCTGTCTATAATTCTTGTAGGACTCAAAATAAAAACCAACCAACTGCAATTCTGGTACATGTAGGTACGTGTACATGCCAATTAAGTTACTTCTGAGGCTTCTTCACTTGAAGTACACACTTTTGCACCAGCACCTGATCTATGTACAGTCAAACCTCTTTAATAAGAGCATTGATAATACAGTGAACTCTGACTAAGTCGACATTGCGTAACTCGTCATATCATCTAAGTCCGCCTTTTGAAAAAAGTCCTGATAGTCTGTAATGCATTTGCATTGAAAATTTCATTTCTAAGTCGGCATTTATAAGTCGTCATTTCGTACAAGTTGGCATGTTTTTCTTGGTCTCTTTTCCACAAAACCCCCCAAATTCCTTTGTGCAAGTCGGCATTAAAAAATCACGCTTCGGTATCAGTTTCCTTCATCGTGGTAACAGCACAGGCCATGGTTGATTATCGGCCAGTATGAGTACATCAATGCCAGTAACCCCTCTATTGCTACACGCATGCACTCTGTCCATTTTGGGGGTCGCCTTATTGGACGAACTTAACCAATGCATGTGCGCATGAGTGTATGTTTTCTGTACCGTAACTGTATCATGTACGTACATGTACGTACTGCACTGTCGAGTCATGATACAAGTCGGCATTCGTGTAAGTCATCGTAATTTCTGGAGTCCCGAGAGTGCCAATTTAGCCAGAGTTTACTGTACATCCTTGTACTTCATAACAAGGAATTTTTAAGGTCCTAATCTTTTGTTCTTCATTATTTTGATTCCTAATAATAAAAGGTTCCTGTTACAGTAAGCTGCAAATTCCAAAGGACTTCTTATTTATGGGGCTTAATGAATATGGTCCAGGTGTTGTTAGGCTTGCTCGCTTGGTGTCTCATCAGCCTGATCAGTTGCTGATACAATCCCCTCTCCGAAGTCTTCCCCAGCCACACTGAGCTGCGGCTCTAAGGGGTTATCATCGACCATCGCCGCCATGTCCTCCTCAATGTTGTGGATCACACCCTCCAGGGTGGGCGCAACTGTGACGACAGTGACTGTCATACTGCCTTCCTCATTCTGGATGATCTGTAGCGTATCGTCTCCCACACCCTCCTGCATGGCCTTGCGGATGGCCTCAGCATCGGCTTCTGTCAGCTGCAGGGCATTGCCGTGCTCGTCCAGAATTTGGTACTGCTGTTCCAGCTCCTGTTGACTGGTCAGCCTCCTTTGGGAAATGTCCTCTTCGGGTGCATCAGTCTGGGCTTCCTCAGGCGTTGGAACGTACTCGTCTCCGAATGTGTTGATGTCGTGCTTCTGGTAAAGGTGATTGAGGAGGTTGTGCCTGTACTTGAAGGTGCCCTTGCAGGCACTGCATCTGAGGGGCTTGCGCTTGTTATGAATGCTCATGTGCAGGATGAGCTTGCTCTTGTCCCTGGACGAGAAGGCGCACTCCAGGCACTGGTAGCGGAACATGTCGTCGTGGGTCTTCTGGTGCTGCAGCAGGCTGTAGCGGTCGGTGAAGACAGAGGGGCACATGGTGCAGGCCATCTGCTCGCCGGCGGCGTGCATGTGATTGATGTGGGCCTTGACGTCGCCCAGCTGGTTGAAGACGGTGTCGCAGTGGGGGCACTTGTGGCTGGAACGCAGGGCCGTGTGCTTCCACAGGTGCTCCTTCAGGCTGCTCTTCTGAGTGAAGCTCTGGTCACACATGGCGCACATGAAGGGCTTCTCGCCGGTGTGGATCCGCATGTGGCGTTTCATCCGGTAGCCCTGGATGGCGGTGTAGTCGCACAGGGCACATTTCACTTTCTTCTTGGCCCCTTTCTTCCCCCTGGGTCCCTTCTTGGTCTTTGTTCCATTCTCAGGTTGATCTTCACTCATCTTGCTTAATTTAGTTTAATTACAAGCTGTTGTCACAATTGGTGGCAAAGTGAAAGTTTCATCCACACTCGGCTGGAATTACCCAAACAGATTATGTTTGAGCAAAACACTTCCACCTGACTTTAAAGTCAGTGAGTCGCTTTATGTGAGTCTGTTCTTGACAGTGTTGTCTCCCAGAGAAAATCTTTGAAGTGGTAGCTGCTGATTTATCTCAAAGTCAAACTAAAGATGTACTGATAATGCCACACAGGCTTCTTGGTAAGGACCGCTGGGACCCTGCAGTAGAAGAATGGAAAAAATGCCATCAAAAGTTCATTCCTTTTAAGTGAATACTGGCATTGATATATTCCTGTAGCCTAACGAATTTTTGGGGGGGGCAGCTAACATGACAGGGTAATTCTATAAAAATCCCTCACATGAAGTGAGACTCCTTACTGTCTGCCTCGATCACTGACACATAACGGACACATGTTTTATCAGTAACCCATACCTGCCAACACTGACAGGTCTGAAACAAGAACACCCGCATTACATAGCTCACTGCAAATCAAACACCGCGTGAGAGAAGCTACTTACGTGGAACATCTGCCATTTTAACATTGAAAATAGCACCCTGTTGCCAGAACTTTTTTTCCCTCTTTTTAATGGAAATGGGAACACTCCAATTTTTAGGCCTCTGAAAACTTGAAAATTGGAACATTTCCAATTAAATGTATGACAACCCTAACAGTCCCGAATCCTTTGAAAGTTGGACAATTCATGACTGCTGGTTGACAATGATAAAACAGCATTACCACATTGAAAAATTTAATACTGCTTGTAATGCCTCTGGTGCATCACTACCATTTGTAAGGTGCCTTTCACATCCTTCCTTACCTTTAAATCTTTCCAGTTCAACAACATGGAAACAAAAATTCAAGGTTTGTTGCCTCACCTTTTGAAGGAATTTTGTTTACTGTTCATCATCACTATCACTGTCATCCTCATTTTCACAATCACCAATGTCCTCGCCAGTCAAGGTACTTCTTCCATCCTCATGGAATCTAGCTAAGCCACACAGAAAGTTGTTGAAGTACTTCTTTTTTTTCACCTCCCGTGCCCTGTAGGCCATCCGGGCCAAGTTGACGGGACTCAAGATGGCGACGGCGGGCTCCTCGGACTCTTGCTGCATGAGGACCTGGCTGACTATGTCTTTGGTCGGAAGGGCCAAGTTCTCGACAGCTCTGGTCCTGATCTCAGCTTTCACCAGAGACTTGACCACAGCCCCCGGCTCTGGGGAGTGGATGTGCTGGTGCGGACCCGGCGTGATCACCCCTTGGCTCTCCTTGAGGTACACAGGGCAGTGCATTTTCTTGTTTCTGACAGTGCACTGCCAGTCCACTACTTTCTGTCGTACCCGCTTGATGTTGTAAGTGTAGCCCTGGCTGTCGACGAGTCGAGGGCGACAGCGCTGAGAAGAGGACTGCAGGAGGCGGTACCCGGCATCCTGTGCGTTCTGACTCAACATGGGCATCTGGGGATCAGCTGCAGGTGGTTCGGCAGAATGGCCAGTCTGAGCGGCACTTATGTTGCCAGCAATTTCCCATGCCTGCTCAGCAATGCTTTTATTTCCCCTTCCATTCACTTTGGATCCGACATCTATTTTGGGAACAGCATCTACCTGGATACCTCCTTTGTGATTGTGAGACTTCGAACCAAGGACAAATTGTCCCTCTTCCTGTATCAGGACAGCTGGACATTTTATTGTTGTGTCCCGCAAGACACACTTCCAGGTGGTGATTTCGTTCTGGACCCGCTTGATGCAGTAGGTGAATCCGCTGCGTTTGTCAACAAGTCTGGGCTTCCGGTTCATGTACTGCACTATGTTTGGTACCTTGGCAGATTTTTTCGATTTCTTGCGTTTGTCATCAGACACTTTTGCTTCCACGGTGGCCAGCTTTGCTTTCGTCATTTTGGCTGCCTTCTTCCGTTTCTTTGAGGTCTGAGATGGTTCATCCTTGTTGTTTTGGAGGTCTTTCGTATCCATCTGTGACTCTGCCATGTGGAGGTGCGGCTGGGGTCCAGGGATGAACCCGCCATTTTTCTGTTTGAAGCTGGCACGGCATGCCATGCTTTTACCTCGCACCGTGCACTGCCAGTCCGTCACCCCTCGCCCCCGCACCCGTTTCACATTGTACATGTAGCCTAGGGCATCCACCAGTTTGGGTTTGCAGCAGCGCTTGTACTGTCTTGCAGATGTCTTCTGTCCCTCTGGAGTTAATGATAGCTGGTCAGGTGTCTCAGGCTTCTGCAGTGTCCCCTGAGGAATGAACTGCTCTTCATTGAGAGGTATCTCAATCTGAGATCCCGCTATCTCTATGACTTCCTGTATCAACAGTTCTTGCATAGTGCTTTGCTCCATTTCTGTCCCCATGGTGGAAAACTTACCACTCCACATCAAACTGCTACACCCCCTTGTTTTGATCTGTTATGGCAGGTTTCATATCACAGGTGCCCCCAATGAAAGACTGAATGACTAACAGTTGTTTCTGAAAAGACAGCAGAAAAAATGAAAGTACAAGTGAATAAAGTGTCTTTTCTTCATTTTGTTCCTGTTTATATAAGAGTAGGTTATGAGAATAAAAATCATTTCAAAAAAATCAACGAGCTTTTTTACCTGTTTGAATCTGTACATGTACTTCTGATGATTTCAACTCCCATGCAATGAACAGACAAAATAAATTTGGGCCAGATTTTTGCCAATCGTCAAAGTTAAGATGCAGATTTCGAATCAACTCCTTGGAAATGACTTTTCAATTTTTTTTATTATGCTTGTCATCCATGTATCCTAAGTACATCATTTCTCAGCTTTTGTATATCAATTATCGAATTCAAAAACACTTCATTGACTTGTCTTTTCACTTCAAACCATCTTTTCAGGACAAATTGACCAACAGCCAGCAGAACTGGAGGACACAGGGACGGCACTACAGACTGCGCATGATGTGTGGCTTTGGCAGAGCATGAACAGATACAACAACCAGACAATATGAGGTCGCAATAACTCTGGTTACAGCTTTGAATGGCATCTGACTTACCTTCTGAAGAATTTTGAGAAATACAGACACTTCACTAGTGCTAAGCTCAGCATTATGAACATAAATATACACGTTATAGACTTTGCGACCAAACCCAAATGAATAACAAGTCACCAGAGCCAGTTTTCAGTGTTGACAATTTCCTAGATCTAGATAGAAAGCAACCCTGTTCAACGGATTCAGAAAACTTTCTGATTCTGGGCCAGGACCAAAGACAGTGATGGAGAACTCTGCGACAAAGATGTTATCACCATGGGCGCCATTCAAGTGTGCACATGAATGCATAGGCACTAGCACTGGCATACCAGGTGTGCATGCCTGTCACGGCACTAGCGCATTAACATGCACTGCGCAGGTGTCGTCTAACCAAAAAAAACTGAATGGTTCTAACCAACGACGCGACAAGAATGACTGACGGACGGTGATGGATGTTTGGACATCACCACTAATCACTTATTTATTCAAACGTCTTAGCGCTTCCCATGTCCACTGTCTGATTAGGTTATTTGTACATTCAACATACTCTCAGGATCAACAACTTCAAACCCTCCGACCCATTAATATTTGGGTATGTGACTGAGGTTCGCAGAAGGGATGCAGCTGGGCAAATGCCCCATACACACGAAAATACTGAATTAGTTTTACCAATATTAAAAAAAAAATATTTTTACCCAAATTCCACAGAAAGTGAACATCCACCAAGCTTTAAACAGCTTAACTTTCATAATTCTAAACTTTGAGTGCCTGCTGCAAACCCCAAAACCTATTTTTACGGGCAGCAATCACTGATTCCATCTCAAACTGTATTTTTAAAAAAATTAAATGGTGAATGGGACGGCCATACATGCTTGGCAAACTTAGGGGGGCGAGTTGGCCCGGGGCGAGTTGGCCAGGGGGTAAGTCGGTTAGGGGGCAAGTTGGCTAAGGGGGGAGTCGGCAAGGGGGAGTCGGCCAAGGGAGCAAGTTGGTAAGGGGCAAGCTAGTAAGGGGCGAGTCGGCCAGGGGACGAGTTGACCTACAATCGTTTCTGGTGGAAGGACCATGTTTCGTCCATAGAGTTATTGCGTATTCTAAATCTAACTTTGCGCATTTGAAAGGTATAGGAGGCAAACAGTTTAAGTGCTGTGCATGTTTTGTGTCGAGCAAAAACGGTCAGATTTTGACATATTTTGAAGTCAGAAATATCATTGGTCAGAAATATCATTGAAGCCCCTACTGTTTGCCGTTGGCATTTACGGAAGCCAGTGGGCAGTTGGTGAGGTATTTTTGGTGAGTCTTTGGAATTTTTGAGAACCGTTTCAACCTTACCAATATGTATGGGCGTGGAGCGTTAGTATGACGATCCCGTCCAAAATTGAAAAAGAGGAATAGGCCTACTAACGCTTCGGTAATTTAAAGCTAGCAAAATACCATTACGCTGGCACATTCATCTGTTCATGACCTAAACCAAGTCAGTACTGGCCTAGTAGGCCTACACGTACATGTACATCCACACAGTAGTACATGTACATCTACGTAAAATTCATCAAATAGGCCTACAGATTCGATACTTTCTGTTTCTTATATATCCCGCCCGTGTAGCATGGCTTAACATCATGGCATAACGTTATCTCTTGTTTTTAATCACGTTATTAATGTTAGTGTTTGCCACGATTTACAAACCTTGTAACGTCCTGCCAGCCAGATATAGCTTCGACCTTCAACGTACATGTACATGTACTGTACGTACATCCATATAGGCCATGTACATGTACATGTATGTACCTGGGCTGTACGCGTTTGTCGCGATTTATCATCACGTACATAGGGGGTATGGTTCCTTTCTCCTTTTGGAACCGTTTATGTACGTTTTCAGCGCGTTGTTGGTGACCAGTCTACTGGAATGTAAATCACGTGATGCACTGTGTCGAATTGGGGGCGGGATTTCCTCACAGAATACTAGCGCGCAGCGCGGCGCGGCGCGGCGAAGGAAATCTTTATGCTGTGGAAACAGTTTGTACAAATTTTAGCTCTATGGTACAACAGATACTATCCACCCACTTCGTGATCCTATCAAATCTATGTCTCAGTTTCAGAAATTACATTTAATGTATGTACCTGGAGCAAAACCAGTGCTATGTGATGAAGCCCTTAACGGCATAGGGCCCCTCTTAAAGAGGCCTGGAAATCTTTGGATTCTAGATGCTCTTGTGGTGCTATATGTTTGTTGTCTGACTTTCCCCTATTCAGCAGTTATGGACATCGTTTTCAAGGTTGGAGGCATTTGATTAGCTTTTATGAGCTGAAGAATCGAATGTAAACCTACAACTTTTATACGGCGACACAGAAGTGGAAAGGGTCAAACAATACATATTCCACTTTTATAAGGGGGGCGGGTGTCCTTGTCCCCATGACCGATGCCCATAGATCCAAAACAAAACTTTCGGGGCCGGGGTTTGCAAAGTAAACGGGGGGGGCAAATTTGGTTATTTATTTTATGGCGTTTCTGAGAGGGTGAGGCTGATTTTAAATTTTTTTTACATGTTTTAGGAAGGGAAATAACCCCCCCAAGTTGCCTTTCCCCTTCATATCTCAAGTGGAAAAAAATCCCTTTTTTATGGGGAGGGGGTGACCCCTGTTGACCCCTATGTGTTCCTTCCTCCATGGTGGAACTGCCAATGCTTTAATTAGCATCCTAAATATTTTCAGTTGCATTAAAATGTTATGTTATACCCGCTCCATTTGTGTATGGCAGCCATCTTTGCCGTCAGAGCTTTTGTTTTATAGGGCCAGAGATAACACCCAAGAGAAGATCTTTTGTGCTATTCCTGTGTAATGAAAGCGGTTACTAGAAATACATGGCTGCCATGCAGAACCTCCGGGGCTATAAATTCCGATAATAAAGCTCGTCAACAGAATAATAGCTCCACAATTTGTTAACATCACAAGGAATTAGTTTCATATATAAAGGTCACTGAAGGGTGGTGGGGAAGGACAACATACCCTAAATCCAGCAACTAAAATATCAAATTGATATCAGCAAGGTGGATCATAAGCCCCCCCCCCCGCAAATAGCATCTTCTGTCTGATCTGTAGGCTGCTCTCTCACCAGTCCAGGTCTGATAAAACTGCAGCAAAAAACAAACTCCATGTAAATGTCTCACATCAGTGAAATTTACCAAATATACACTCATGTCCAACACAAACAGGAAGACGAAACACTGACTCGGAAGCATATTACAGTTTATTTAGATGAAGCCCACAGCTCAACTTGTCTTCACTCAAAAACACAAAAGGTAATCTGTAATATCTCAAGCTAAAAGTCCAGAAAAAACAGAAACTGGAGATGGCTAAGCTATCCCTTCCGAAATACAGGTACGTCCAGAACCAAAAACAAACACATTTTTAAAAAGGGAATTATTTCAAAGGTGGAACAGCCTCCCCCCCCCATTTGTCATTTTTGAGTACTTGATGCATTACATCACTGCTGTCAGCAGCACACACTGAGGGTGGGGAGACGGAGGGTAGACTGACAGTCTGTCGTCAATAAAGACAGGCAATAGTTTCCCAGCTTGAGGTTTCATCGGTTAGTGATCTGAGGATTCTTGCTTAGCCACAGTCAATTGATGAGGCCATCAAGTAAGTTTGGGCATAGCATGCAGTAGCAATGTATAGTTAAATCCACATACTATTTTATAATTTTGTAATCAAGTTTACCCAGTGTCAAATTTTGTCAGAAGCTGTCTTGACCCACCTGCCTGCATGTGGCTTACAATATGTATCCATAAGTTTACATCAGCGTGAGGGTTCCCATTTTTCTTTGGAGGGTTTTTCCATATAGACCCCACCAATCCCCCCCACTGTTATACAAATAAGGGATGCCCAGTCACAATTTGGACAATGAAAAAAAAAGCTATTTAAAATGTTTCTCGTCATTTATACTGTGCTTAATTACTTCTGAAGTCAGTGCTTGCATCCTTTATATAAAATTAAATGAAATCACAATTAAAAGGTGCTTTTTAAGTCAAAAAAATGTACTTAACTACTTCTAGTTTTTACAAGGCTTACATTGAAACAAAACCATATATTTCATATTCACACCTGTAGAAAATGACGAGTTTAAGATTTTCCTGTGTCACAACCTGTCTCCCAGCTTATTGGAAATGTGTTTTTTTTTGGGGGGGGGGTTTGAAGCTTGAAAGCTAAAAACTGACAGTATCGCCTCTTGTGTCTTGTTTTGAAAGATCAAATGAGGGACCTACAAACTGGGGCATGTGGGCAACCAATTGTGAAAAAAGTGAATTAGCACCTGTTTTCAATGGAAACTTCTCATTATTATATTTAACAAAATCTAAGGAATAATAACATGAAAACAATCACACTCTCATGAACACACAAAAAAGCAACACAAAAAGGTTTCATGTTTGGTGTAGGTTTTCTTGGGAAAACCGCACACAGATGCAGCCCACTGAATTCACATACTTATTGTCCTATGCAAAGTTTACAAGCAAACCATAAAAATGCTTGAAATACTGTCATCGCATCTAGGAACTTTCAGAGTGAGTTTTGCCAAAAATACAGTCAGATGTAAGTGGCTACCGGAGAGGTCATGCTCTGTTGAAGCTGTTGTGCAAATAATGACAATCTATTTACAGTCACAGTGTAGTTTAAAATATCTCAACTTGAGTTTGTTTTTCGGAAAATGTGTAGCATCAGGGGCACCACCAGGAAATTGAAAAAAAAGTTAAATGAAACGTTCATAAGAAAAATGGATTTTCATTCATGCTCTTGATAATAATTTTGACACTAAAAATGTCAATTGGTGTGTACTGTCATGTCCATGAAAGGGGAACAGGAAAAACCCCACTTTTCCTTTTGAGTGTTGAGTGTGCATATACCAAGATTACATAACTATTTAAAATGGCATCAACTCCAATCAGATTTATACAAAGAATAATTGACACAAGATTTTGACACTTACCTTTAAACTTCATATGAAGGTACTAATTCTAACTAATGATATGCTTTTAATAGACTAAGAACATTTTTGTCTGTCCCAATTCATATGTACAACTGTTATGACATTAAAAATTCATCTGGAAAACAAAAGCCAGATTTTTCAATTGAAATGTGTCAATAGCTGCTGTGACACTGAGAAGAAACCGAATAAAAACAAAATCACAATACTGTTTAATTTCAATTCAAAGGATGATAATACAATGGCATGACACAAAAGAATGACTTTGTCACTGTTCAATCAGACAATAAACTTGTCAACATGACACAGTCAATGCCATTTATCATGCAGGCAAAATAATACACCAACCAATGATTCCACCATAACCGCTTACTATGCCTCAAATGTCATCCTGATGTTATCACAGGCTAGAAATGGTGATCTCTCTCCTGAGCAGTGTGTAAAATGATTCATTGAGTAAATTAGTCTATTTGGTTACAACAAAACAATTACCACTAGTACCTGGGCAACACTACTCATGGATACCACTCCTGTGCGAAAACTACCCTAACTCAGTTTCCCTCAAGTAAGATACTCCCATTTTAAACAAGATTCAATGATGCCAAGTAACTGATAATAACAGTTACACTATCACATATGGCATAACAACATAGGAAAAAGATACTTGTGAGAATATTTTCATTGTCGAGGGAACTGAAAAGCTTGCTGGAAATGGAAAAATTGTAGCAAAAGTCAAGATTTTTATAAGATACATCAGGCCACGAGAAAACAATGACCGAGCAATGACAAAGAGATCCATTCTTTCAGGAGATTTATATTTACAGGTCAAATTCCCCCTTCACTGTTCTTCAACGAAGAGGTAGATGGTTCCATCGTCAGCAGCTTCCTCGTCATCCTCTTCCTCCTGGGTCTGGCTTATAGGCTGGTTGGCTGGGACAAGGATGGACTCTGTTTGGGTGATGACGTTGGGTTCACTCTGAACTTCAGCTTGAGTCTTCTGACCCTCAACTTTCGTCTGTGGGGGGACCATGGTGGGTAGGCTATCATCGGATGTTGTGCCTTGCTCGGAATCGCCAGCCTTTTCTGCCACCTGCTCCGTCTTCTCAAGCTTCGTCTCAACAGGGGTCATCTCGGCTTGGTTCTCTGTTCCTTCCTCTGCTTCTTGTTGGCTTGTTCCATCAGCTTCCTGGGAGGTGGTAGGCTGGTCCTCACCTTGTACCTGCATTATAACCTGCCCCGGTAGAAGGTCTCCTGCCACACTTGCCTCAGGCTCAGGCTGGTCCTGCTGTTGGACAGTGGCTAAGGATCCATTGACTATTTGGAGATTCTGCTCCAAGTTGGACACAGAGCCGTCTGGATTCTGTGCCACGGTCAGGACAGTGACGGGACCGCCCTCCTCCCCTTGAATGATCTGTAGCGTGCCGTCTGCTGTGCCTTGCTGCATGGCAGCCTGGATGGCTTCGGCATCCTCTTGGGACAGCTGCAGGGTGTTGCCGTGCTCGTCCACAATGTGGTGCTGCTGCTGCTCCGGCATTGCCATTCTCTGGCGACGGGTCATTTTCTTAGTCGGGGAGCCCGCCTCTGAGGAATCTCGCCGCTTGCGCTTCAGGCCACCTTGAGATTCATCTTGGTCGGGTTGGATGTTGTGCTTCTTTTGCAAATGATTCACCAGGGTCTGCTTGTGTTTGAAAGTCTCTTGGCAGTCGCTGCACTGGAATGGGCGTTCGCCGGTGTGGACCCTCATGTGAACGACAAGGTGGCGCTTTTGAGGGGCGGAGTAGTCACACTCCAGACACTGGTAGATTTTCTCCCCCTTGTGCGTCTTCTGGTGCTGCATGAAACTGAAGCGGTCGGTGAAGCCATTCTCACAGATCTTGCAGATGAGTGGCTGGCCCTGTGTGTGCATTTTGCGGATGTGGGTCTTCATATCTGCATGTCGGCCAAAGGTGGTGTCGCAGTACTCACACTTGTGGGCGGGGCGGGAACCAGCGTGCTTCCACAGGTGCTCCTTCAGGCTGCTCTTCTGAGAGAAGCTGTGCTCACACTCGCCACACTGGAAAGGTTTCTCGCCAGTGTGGACCCGCATGTGACGTTTCAGCTTGTAGTTGTCTGTGCTGGCATAGTCGCACAGCGTACACTTGTACGGCTTCTCTCCAGTGTGGGACCTCATGTGACGTTTGATCTTGCTTGCTTCAACGCTGTAATAATCACAGAGAGGGCACTTGTGTGGCTTCTCGTGGGTATGCATGTATTTCATGTGCCGCCCCAGCTCACCAGACGTTCCAAAGGCCTTCTCACACAGCTCACATTTGTAGGGCTTGGTACCGCTGTGTGTGTTGAGGTGATTCCGCAGGAGCGTTGAGGTGCGGAAGATACGGCCACACTTGTTGCACTCGTGGACTTTGGGCTCCCTAGGACTGGCAGAAGTCTTCTTGGCCCGTCCAAGAACTTGATCAATAAGGCGGCCGTCATCGAATTTGGGGACCATGTACTTCTTGCGCTTTTTCGGGGAGTCCTTGTCGTCCAGGCTGGGTTTGGTGACCGGCTCATCATCATTTTCCCCTGCGTAGAAGTCATAGACGGAGTGGTCCTGGATGGTTCTCTGGCCATCTTCCCCTTCAACCACTTCTCGCACTATCACGATCTGGGTGTTCATAGGAACAACCACCTCCTCGTGACCCTCTCCTACCACAACTGACTCAGCTTCCACTCCCTCTACGTCTACTGTTGGCCGCTTACGTGGGGACCTGCGGATGGTCAGGACCTTCTCCTTGCTCTGGTAGGAGGGGGGCACGGCACCCTCCTGGATGGCAGCAGCATTGGCCACAGCCTGCTCTTCCAGCTCCTCCTGGGTGGGCTCTCGAGTCGTAACCTCTGGGCCTTCCTCGGCAACAACCTCAGTGCTGCTCTGTGTGACTTCTTCCTGTGTAATCACTGTGCCACCCTGAGAGGTCTCGGTTCCAGTCTGTTCTGCACCGTCTCCCTGAACAATGGTGTACACCTGGGTGCTGTTGCTGGTACCCTCTGAAGAAACAGGCTGTGGAAAATAGGTAGGGATGCAGTTTTTAGCCAGTAAGTAAATCTCAACAAAAGCAACAATGTATCTTAAGGCCTGTATTTGGAGTGAAAGCAAACGCCAATGTGAAATCATGATGTCAGATCAATTATTCATGCTGTCAATTTGCATAAGTTGAACATGTTTCACTCAAGCACGAATCGCAGTAAATTCTTCAAAAGGTCAAATCCGCTTCACTTGCACCTTAAGTATGAACGAGCCTCAAATGTATCTAAAGGGTGCCAATACATCTTACAAGTGAGATATAACCATTTCTCTAATCATACCTGAACTTCTGTTAACCACTTGCTGCCGAGGGATCCATTTTCGAGCACATTGGCTTTATACACGGAGCCAGGGAACCCAAAATGGGACAAAGGGAACTGGGCCTTGTAACAAAAGACCGTACTCGGAACAAAAGACCAGGCTGCTGGGCATTACCAACATTTTTTACTCTCAATAGTGGAGATAATCCAGCCTTGTTTTGGAACAGTATACCAGGTTTGGGGCATTTAGAGCAAGCGGATTACCACCGGGGACAAAAGCACTCCACCACCACAGCAATGAGCTACACAGCACCACTGCATGCTAATCTGGCCCATATTGAAAAGAGGTCAGCAGCGCACTGTGCCAGGTTCGTGAACAAAAGAAAGTTATATCACACCGCACAATCTGGGTTCTTTTTACAAGGCTGCAGGCCTGGCTGAAATACTCGGGTGTCAATAGATTTGTCTGTCAGATTAGAGTGGCCACCAGACAGTAATTCTTGTGGGTGTAAATGTCCATTAATTGAAATGATGAATTTTTGAAGAATTTTGAAAACTGAACATCTTGGAAAAGACCTTATTATGTGCACTGCATTTTTCAAACCACCCGGCAGCAAGTGGTTCATGCATTCTGTAATGTATCACACAGGGGATGATACAGAGATGAGACTGTTATAGTAACCTAAAACATGTACAGGAGCGACAAGGTCCTTCAAAAAGCAAAGTTAAACACCAGACCATTCCCTCACCTGTGCAAAGGAAATCTGGGATCCATCTTGAGAGACAGGGATGAACTGTTGGCCTTGGCTGTTTTCATACACAATGCTGTTGCCGACGACACTCATAGGTGTTCCAGTGTTTCCATCATTTTGCATGGCCACCATTAAAACCTGTGCCGAAATAACAGTGCATCACACTGAGAAATATAGATCCTCTTGACAAAAAATGCATCTTATGAAATTGGTCGAGTCACTTTAAGGTCGTTTGTTTCCTCAAGGTAATGACTTGTGCACATCATTCGCAAAAAACCCACAAAAACGGGACTGCCAAATGAAATTGCCCAATACCTGAAGGCAACTAAATAATGGTATTAGGCCCACTCACGCTACAAACTTGTTGTGCTTGGGGTGCTGTCATTTGCAAAAAAATGGAATTTTGTATCATTCGCCAACACTGGCTCTGCTAAATGATTGTTGGAAAAACGTATTTCAAATATTATATCCATTATGTGAAAATTTTTTTTTTAATTATTCTTGCCATAATCCTGTGATTTATTGACAAAAAGTTGTTTACCTGTTGCTGTTGTTGGACCATATTGCCGTGCTGGTCAACATGTTGCACCATCACCATCTGCTCTCCCTCCATGTTCTGAAGACTCTCAATGCCTGTAAGTATAAAATAAACGGGAGGTAACACTATGATACCATTTCTATTTCAGACAGTTTCAATCAAATTGGACAGATAGGGCACGTGTTTAAAAAAAGAAAACAAGAAGAACAGAAACACTGAAATTCAGCACAAAAATACTTGACGTAAAGTCTGCGGCTAAAAGTTTCTTCAACTGTATAAGTACAACACAAAGAAATCAGTTGACAAATTACCACGCAAAAGTAAACAAGAAGGGAAGCTCTTCATTCACTTTCCCTTTTTTTATGTACATCTTCTTCATGTTTGGTCGAAATTGTGCGTCATATTGATGACAGAAATAAAACCTCACAGAATGAGCCAGTTCTGTATTTCAAAACAGTAAAGTCATTCGTGGACAGAACACATGTGTGATTCTGCGTAGGGCCCCGCTGATACGGCAGACCTCGCAAGTGCGGCCATCAGGAAGGGGACTTGAAAACATTGAAGAGTGAAGACGAATGGAAATCAACTCTGGCTAAACAAAGAGATTCAAGGAGAGGAGGGAAGCATAAGGAACGGACTTAGTATAATACCCCAGGCAAAAATTGGACTGGGGCCATTGGTGGGAGAAAATAACAAGAGATTCACTGTGGCCAAAATAACCAAGACGTGTCAAAGGGAAGGGTTAACGTACGTCAGTTGCTCTCACCTTGTATGGTGATGTTCTGCTGTTCAGCTAGCCCTGCCCCCTCTATGCCTTGGATGAAGGCCTGGCCCATGGTGTCTGCTGCATCTGCCACTGTGACTACTGGCTGGCTCTGCTGGTTACCTGCATCTTGGCTGGCAACCTGACAGGGAAGAAAAAACACCAGGTTCACTCAAGTCCAGTTTGCATTAGAGTGCGAAGAGATCACAGATGTCAGTCCGTGACATAAGGGCAAATGTTCTGCAATGCAAATCTGCAGAAGTTGGATATCGGACCTCTAACCCTTTGCCATGTCTGAGCCAAGTATAAATCAGCCTTTCACACTGAAAGGTCTCTGGCAACTTCTTGGACAACCATCACTTGAGCTTAAGGAAGGCACACATGTCACCACAAAATTGAGAGTGCAGCCACAAGGCAGGAAGGCATTACCGGCTGTGTGGCAATGTTAGCCGACGCATTGGCTAGCAGCTGCAATGTCTGGGTGATATCCATGGCTGCTGCATCCTCCCCTGAGGTTGCCTCCATCTGGCCCTGAGGAGCCTCCTCTCCACCTTTTGGAAAAACAGGAAGCAAGAAAATAATCAGTCTGCAAACGATGTTTATCATAGTAACTGTAACAGTGATCACTTCAAATGAAATAACACAAGCTACTTCAAAACATATCACGTTATTTTTGCATGTGGCTCAACAAGAGCAAGTTGTGGCATACCCAAAGGAAATCTGAATTTCAAATCAACAAAATGTTGTTTTTGGTGGCTTTCGCTGGAGCAGTTACTACTAACCATGTTGCTTGACAACCTCTACTAACTGCTGGGCCACTGCTGCCTCTGGATCCTGGCTAACACCGACTGGCGTGGGCTCCTCTCCTGAAATCTAAATAAGAGATAGAAAAAAATCCTTTTGTCTGTACCTTTCTTGATATAAAACAAAGTTACAGTTCTTAAAAAGGGATAAACCATGCAAAAGGGCTCTTTCAAGATGACAGTGACATGTCTATCAAACATGTTCTAGATCAACGAACTTCAGCGATGACATGTAAGTTGGGAAGTGCCTACAATGAAGCACAATGGTCCTGGAACTGAGCTCTACCACATGAACATCAGAACTGATTCTCCCAGACAATCCTGAAGGGGCATTTTCCTCATGAGTTACGATGTTTAACCCTAACCCTCCTCAATCCTTCACCTGTTGGAGGACTGAGGAGTGTTAGGGTTAATGTTTATATCAGCCTGTGGGACTGACACTGGTAGTTTCTCCCTTCAACACAATTATCGAGGAATTGTTATGAAAATCTCCCTATCTAAATCTAATATGCAGGAAAAATAATATGCCAACTCCAAAAAATGCAATTTTAGGGGAAAAAATGAAAAAACTAACACACTTTTTTAGTATGCCATGCCATATTTGTAATCAAATAAATAAAAATAGCTAGCCAAAGTTCAAGGGATCAAATCCGCTGTAGAGGTGGGAAGCTGGGCTCTGACATCCCAAATACTTTAAAATCCTCCAACAGTTTCAAGTGAATATTGAAGACTCTAAGGCAGTCAGTATAACCAGGGGTGTAAGTGGAATATAAAAAATAGATTAAAATAGCTGAAACCGAAGCACATACGTGGGGTCTGGGGTCCACCTAAGTGACCAAGTGAACATTTTGAAAAGCAGATGCTCTGTGGTGCATTTGACAGCCTCCTGGTGCAACCATTGGCCATTTTTTTCTTGAAACTTAGGCTATGCATATTTCACTTTTTCTTCAAATTTGGCAGATATTCCTGAAGGCTAAAACGAGCCAGTAACAGGTATAACAAAATTGTAATATCAAGGTTTGTAGAGTAAGTTGGCCCTTTTCCCGCCTGATTTAACCACGTTTTCAAAAATTGTTTGAAAGTCCATACAAAACAATGCAAAACCGCACAATAATGCATGACACAAGAAGCCCTCTATCAGCGAAAGCGAAAATTTACTAACCTTATTTCAAGCTGCAAATTTTCAATGAAATGTGTGCTACCACGATTTACAGTGGAGCTTGTTAGTCACTCTTCCGCTCACACAGGAACGGCTTCAATGACTCTCACTGACACATATATTTACATGAATATTGATATTTCATTGGCAGCCAATCACAGCACAATGACCAGATGGTCTGAGGATGCTGTTTACACACAAGGCTCGCTCTGCATACACAAATTTGAATACACTGTGCACACGCCATGTACAGTGTTTTACAGTAGATTCTGTCACGTGCACTACAGTGCTCCAGTACAATTTGGTGTTGGAAAGAGGAAAGGCAAGTTTGACCTGGCCGTCACATCACGTTGGTACAATTAGAAAAAGAAGACAATGAAAAATTAGCACTTGCGCACAAAAGAATTACAAGGAAAATCTGGCCCGTCGATGACAAAAAACGTGGAAAATGAAATTTGGCATATTAAACAAAAAAGCAGAAATCCACCAAACAGCGGAGCTTTCACATCCCTGTATAACAGTTCCTAACAAGGTCATCAAGGTCCTATACTAACCTGCGACGGCTGAGCAATGACAATGTCCTGCGGTTCTACGGCAGCAGCAGCTACAAAACCCTCTTGGCCCTGCACAGCCTCAGGAGCAGGCCCCTTGGGTACGGAGGCTTCACCTGCTGGCTGTGTCACTTCAAGCTGTTGTTGCTGCTGTTGCTGTAGCACAACCTGCTCTGGTAGTTCTGACAGGGTGACGGCAACTGCCGCAACCTGTAAGTTGATTTTGTTGACAAATATAGGGCAGGTTAATGCCACAGAATAAAGTCCTTTTAATTTTTATGCCACAAAAATAAAGGAGCTCTCTGAGTCACTGTACAAACATCTACTTACCATTAAAACTTATGACTTCAATAATTTTATTTAAGGTATATTCCGGCCATCAAAATTATCATGTAGACATGTATCAAGAAAATTTAAGCACACAGAGCCAAACTAATTTGAGGGTTTTAAATTTAACAACTCAAACATATTTGCACCCCCCAATAATGTGTTTTGTAACAAGCAGTTGAGAATACCTGTTCTAGTTGGTCCTGTTTTGGGGCATCCCCTGAAGGAGCAGAGGCACCTGCAGTCGTTGATGACGAAAGTTCCTGGTTGAAATTCTGCAAATAGGTCTCCAACACATTAATGGATGCAGCTGCAGCAATGCTGTCAGCCGCGGCAGAGTTGCTGCTAGTAGCTGCACCATCGCCGAACTCTGCCACAACAGCGGCAGGGGCTTCAACCTCAGTGCCGTTGACACCTGGTGCCTTGTTTGCTGCGGCAGCAGTCTCTGCTGTGGCATCCTCAGGAGGGACGTCCATGGCGGGGTCAAATCCTCAACTGAAGACAACAAAACACAAGCAGGAGAAAATAGGACACACGCATTATAGTCAAATCAGTCAAGAAGATGATACAGAAAGTGTAATATTTCTAAAACATACATGACCAGAGACAAATCTCTTAACATACATTTTGAAAGGAGGTCCCGTTGTCTGGTTTAATAAAATTAAAGGTGCAGGAGTGTCCCAATAACTTGGAAAATTTTTATGGACTTTCGTCACGAGCTGAACAATGTTAAGAACTATTTACCTTGTTACTTCTTACATGTTACTGCACATGTAAGGTCAGGAAATATGTAACAGAGTGCCAAAAACCATTGCATTTTCTCAACTCATTTTCTCAGTGTACTAGATTAAAACCAAACTCAAATGCTTTTCAGAATCAGCTTTCAAAACACAGAGCTCAAGAACATCAATTATTACACTAATTGCAGGTCAGCTATTATAATCTCTAAAGTGTATCGTAGTTTCACCAAAATTGACAATCATCCTTTGTACTACTTTAGAAATTAGATGTAACTCTAAAATCTGAATATGTATGAATGACATTAACCCTAACCCTCCTCAATCCTTCACCTGTTGGAGGATTGAGGAGGGTTAGGGTTAACGCACTGTTTCCAAGCATGACATTTATGTTCACGTGTCCTGCAATAAAATCCCGTCAGGCAGTTTATGAGGGTGAAGTCCAGTGTACAAAATTTCAAACTTAAAAACATATCACTGATCATTTTGGTGTGTCTGAAGTAAACCCAAAACGGTCAAAAAGAACTCTAAAATTTTATGAACTCAAGCATGGAATTTCAGGGCAAGTTCTTAAGCCATTTTATTGTAAAATAAACTGCCTATTTTGAATGATGAATTCATGCCTGCTGTATTTTTTGTGTGAATGGTCCAAGTTGTTTCGACAACTTTAGCCTCTTTCCCACCAATCCAAAGTTTTCTTGAGGCAGTAAATTCCAATTTCCATGCAGTAAAAAGAGTTAAATATTCGCCGACATCACTAGCTGCCTTTACCCTACAGTAGTATATCAGCCATTAAAAAGCAATGACATTCTACAGGGTCAAAATTAGCAGGGAAAATATCAACGCATTCACTTAGAAAATTTAGACTTTTCAGATATGTATCATAGGGTTTGTGTACAGGGTGTCAAGCGATGTCCACATACATGTATTGAGCTCTTTACCAAATGGATGAAGATGAACATGATGTAAGACAATTACCACAGCAAGAGTCCGTACACAGCACTTGCAGTGTTTTCTCAGTAAATGCTTCGGAATTTTCTCAACTAAATTTTACTTTGTAGGACATTATCACTTTCTGATGGATGTTGGGCCTACATGAACATTATTTTACGGGAAAATCAGTATAGAACTCTTTCCATTACGATGATTACAAGTGGGTTTTCATAGTCGTATAAATCTAAAATTTAAATTGTTATCAATGGGGTATAAAAACTTAAATCCAATAGAGTTTGGGGCATGCCACTAATTTTCCCTATTTTACAACAAGTTTGTCCAAACCACAATTACTTTAAAATTATCCATCCTTATGCCAAGTATGTAGTAATAAGCTAACATATTTTACAATAGACCTAAGCCAAAAAGTATAAGTTGAAAAATATAATGGCCAATAAACTATCTTGTTAACGCATGGCAAGCACAACAAAGGCCACACCCTGTCTGACTGTAGTAAAATATGGCTTGTCAAAAAGGATTTATGGGCAACAGACACACAAAAAAAGGGAGGTTGATAAATGGTCTGCACTTTATAGTGACAAGAACACAGCCGCATATTTCCAGCAAGAACACATATCCATAGCCAACGGCCGCAAGAAAGTGGCGCTCTCCGTCCGCCTATCGTCCAAATTTCGACAGCGTCGTTTTCCTCTCTCATTTGCATAAAGCCCCTGAAGATTTTTTGAGCCGCTTGGGGGCGCAAGGTTACAAAACAACGGCGAAAAGTTCGCAAAAATTTTGCTATACCGACCGTAAATAGTAGGAATGATATCTGAAGAACCTGTACATCGAAAGCTGTTGAGAAATCGTGCCACGATCGAGGGAGAAATTCAGTGCAAAATGAGGAGTTCGTCGTCACGAAGGACAACCTCTTGGATCATTTGCATATATCACACAAGCTACGGTCGGCAAAATCCCAACGACGTCTGGGGGCGCTAACCAGCTTCGGCACCTTTTCGTGAAAATTATTCAGAAATACACTATACCTTTAATACTATGGCAATCTCTGGATATGAATTTCACTATTTCCAACAACAAGTCGGCTCAACTCTGCTGGATGGCTGAGTATTTCGGAGTAAAATAGCTCCAAAACGGCCACAGACAATGGCGCCTTTGCGAAGCAAGATGGCGCCCTTCGAGTACGCATGCCCGTTGACTTAAAAGGTTGCGTTGTCCCGACGACACTTTGAGGCTTATTTATTTTAAAGATGTATTCGAAAATCTTTACATAACATATCAGTACTCAATGACAATTCAAGAACATCTGAACGAGTTGAAATAGTTTATGTAAGTGTAGAAAATTGTGTGAATCTATGGCTCATTTGGGTTAAAATATGGCAATGTTTGGATAATGCTGCCATGTCACATATATCAGTCGTCGGGCGAGGATAGCGACGTAGCACTTTGTATTCATGACGCGTGACGTCTGCACGGTACAAGGCACTACGGTACGGTATACATGTACATGTACATGTACATGTATAGGTACTGCAGGCGCGCGTGCTGCGAATGAATAACCAAATAAATGAATCAGTAAAACATCATGATCACAAAAAATGCAATGCAACCACCTCCATATGCAAACATTCAATTTGTGTAGCTGATTAAAAAAATAAATAAAAACGAAGAATTACCTGCTTAAACTAAACAAGCTTGAAAAAAAATCAGTAAATACCTCAAAAGTGGTTTATTCAGCGGTATAAAGTTGGGAGTTTTGATGGGTTGAAAATTTTTATGAATGATGTTTTCCCTGTTCTCGAAGTTGAATTGTCTGAAAAAACCCTGAGATCCCAAGGAGAGGCTATTATGCCAAAATTGCTTCGCTTGTCCTCCATCCTTTGCCCGGCTCATGCAGGCCGGCGATGGGCCTGCAGTTATGCAGTAAGAGATAAGACGTAATTTTGTCGAGCACTCATTGGACAGAATTCATTTGAAAAACACGGGTCTACATTTAAGTACCTGACGCGTGTGCACAACATATGGGACATCAAGTAACCCACCGTGAGGCCTTGTGCGTCAGATGTTGTGACGTACATTGTTTTTGTCTCAAAATTCTGTGAAAGATATTTGCTCTTTCCAGGTTGGAGATGAGCAAAGCACATGTACATGTATATCGCAAACACTGGAGAAGCATAATTCGCTATATGAGAATTTCAGTAATGCAGGGAGATTATGACTTACTCTACCACCCATTCACACCCCCCCCAAAAAAAAAACCTGAAAGAAAGCAGGAAACGGCTGATATAATTCGTACTATATGTACATTATTTGTTACTGTCGTACATGTTTATCTCACAAACAAAAAAATAATCATGACAGCTAGCTGGGTATGCTTGCACGCGACGAGCACATGCACTGCATCTGTGGCAAATTAATGTCCATTGGCAAAATGCAACTTCTGTCTGTATTTTCCCTCCAGCATCATTCGGACCCTGAATGATAGGGGTATAGAACCAGTGTCGTCATGCAAAACACCTTTCTTAAGTCCTACGCTCAGTAAATAACGTATGCTTCACTGCTTTTGCAGCTCTAATAAATTCCCAAAGAGCCCGACTTGGTTTCCCTGTTTTGACTGTAGGCCTGCATCTAGTTCCATTGTTCAGAGAACCGTTCTAGGGCTCCACATTGTCGTAGCGGTTACTGTTCACTCAAACACAGATCTTCCTTAGGAATAGTGAAGGTTGACCACTTCGTCAAGTCTAAAATTTGCTAACATATATAAGGCAAGACATACCGCGAAATTCTGATAAAGCTTTCTTTCAGTCGTGTCATCCTAACACTAAATGTTATTTGCCCCCCCCCCAAAAAAAAGGGTCGGAAAATTTCCGGAAGGATTTTTGCTTCCAAGATTAAGCCACTATACTGACATTATTTTGCTTGACCGCAGTATGAAAATATTTCGAATGGAATAAAAATTGAAATAATGACCAGTAAGAGAACATTTCAAGAAACTATTTGAGGTCATGGGTTTCGCGGGGGGGGGGGAGTAAAGCTCTTTTCGGGGGGGGGCTAAAGGCTCATCAGCAGTACACTGATAAAACATCAAGTGTACGGGTGCAACAGTTATAACAGTGTAGGCCTACCATCAGGTTTGTCGGGGTATTTAACGATTTCAAGCGAACCAGTGATTTCCTCCTTTCTTTCTTTTCCTTGTTCAAAAATTTTGTCTATTTTCCGGCGCTGGAGCGAGCTCCCTGGTTGTGTCAAAGTTGGCAAGGTCAGCTCGACAAGAACAGTGGGCTTGGCCGCAAAAGATTCCCCGCTGAGCATAGAAGTGGGACAATAGCTCCGCACAGTTTTGGAGCCATAGTTTGGGTAACATGGCTATATATGTAGTTTCCGAGGTGGAATCAACCTCATATGCAGCAAGGTATGAGACGGAGAGAACCCCCTGCTTTGTGTTAGTCATTGTCTCGCAGGAATCTGGGGAATTATATCTTGGGGGGGATGCGTTAAGTAACAATAGTCTGGAATAGTCTGGAATGTTTATAGGGATTGGACATGTTGGGGGGGGGTACCCCTCGGTCTCATTTCTTGCTGGGTATAATCAACCTCGGTGGAGATAGCTTGGACTGGTCCCCGTCCCTCTTATATAGGGTCCGGTAGCTAGCTGCAGTTTAACGTGCGCAATTAGCCCTGTCAATTTGGATGTTGAATGTGTCAATAGCAGTGAAACATATTTCAGCAAGATCGGAAAACAAAACAAAATGAAACAAAATATCTATGCTCACTATTAAAGCCTCTGCCAACCACATGCGTGCTGATTTAATTTTCAATTATTTTTAATCAATAAATCATTTTGTGACAATTTATTTCAAATCAGTGGTTATTGCATTAAATTCTAAATATTTGAACAATTTATGGTGAAGTTGTTTTCGGTAACGAAGAAGAAAAATCAAAATATGCTATCTCCCGCTTGATTTTTGCATGTACTGAGCCGATGTCGTTTCCTCATTTACATACACCTGGCGGGATGCTGCCGGATTCATTACCCACTACCGGTCCGCGTAATTTGTTTTCCTAGGAAAGTTAGGAGTAAAACTTGAGCCCAACATATACCTTGACGCTTAAGTTTCTAAGTGTCCACTAACCTGGATGAGCTTGCAGTTAACCACGCCCATATATTATAAATACCTCTAAACTTCCTAGGAAAAAAAATTATGCTACCGGTCCCTATGTTCGGAAGACGTCTAGAGACTCTGTACGGGAACGGAAACCAGTCTATTTCGATGGATACGCAACGCTTGGCGCAAGCGTTGATGGGCATATGGAAAGACGCCTTAAGACAGAGGAAAAACACGCGTGATCACATAGAGACACATTGCTCGGTGCACGGAGAAGAAAACCAGGCTGGGCAGCGATCGTTTGTGAAATATGACTGACAAGATGGGTGACTACCGGGCACAAATCATGGTCGCCACTGACGAAAAGAATTTAACATTTGGTCGCATATAATCATAAAACAGTCGCAAATGCGACTGTTTTGGTCGCACGGTACAGCGCTGCCACTAACCCCGCATATCCGCTTACAGAGGTTCAGACAGGGTCAGACCCTTCAATGCAGGTTATATACCAAGCTGCTGACACCTGTGCATTTTTTTTAAATTACGCGTCGAGCGTCAGATTATTCCCCCCATCATGATCCAGCCAACTGCAAGTAAATCCCCGTACTGTTAAGAGTCCAAAATATTGATCATTCGCACCCGGCGTTCGTGGTTAGCTTCTCATCATCGACTCAAGTGCATGCGATAGTGCAGCGAGGTGTCAAAAGCAGACGACATTTTTTGAGCAGTGGCGCAAACGCTGAGGTCATTGATTTCCCGCCAAAATGTCCGCCGCCTATTGACACTTTGATGTAACGGCGTGGTTATGGATAGATCATGCACCTAATTCGCATTTTTCGGTTCATACCTCCAGTCAAGAATGATGATGATGGACAGGTCCAATCATTAACTGAGGCCCGGTGCATCTGCCAGCCCATTTTTCCCCCAAGCGCCTTTGATGAAGTCTCACCAAACCGGCACAGTAAATTCGTCGAAGTCCTTTCTGGGTAAGATTGGCCTACGGGTGTAGAGGTAGGTTAGGTGATGCTTCTCATAAAGAGACAAGTAAGTCAAAGTTGTTGAAGGAGGAATGAGGGATAGTCAGCCAGCAACGTGACGACCTTGATGGATCACAGTAAAAAAAAAATAATAAAAAAAAAGGCCTATAACCTTTTTTTCATCGGCCGTATTGCATGCATCAGGTTAAGCTAGACTAGGCAAACCTGAAATTTAAAGAAATATCGAGAAATGCACACCTACCTGGAAATAAATTGGGGGAACCCTTTATTCTTGAGCTCACACTAACCATTGAAATCCTGGTAGGAAAAATTTAAACCAACTTTTTGTATAATGATTGAGAATTGCAAATGAGTACGGGGCTTCAGATGAAACAATCATTTTGCTCACACTAATGACAAAGTTCATGACTGACAGGAGTCCGATTCGCGGAACAATTTTTGGCGGCTCGACTGGATCCTGTAAAGTAGTTGACTCAACCCAGGTGAAAGGCTAATAACATTCGTCGCTTGGGTTCAAGGACAGTGTATCTTTACATTTTACAATAACGAAAAGAATACCAGGCAATCCTGGGGCCTACCGAAGCGAGCCCACACGACCACGCAACTTTGACATAGCGCCCTCTATTGCTAGCAGTTGGCAAGGTAAAAGTTTCCTGGCCCACGTAATTACGTAATGAGTCGGGACAACCACATGCGTGTATTATATACGTATTATTTGACGTGTCCTAAAATGCACAGTTGCATCGTCCCGACGGCGAAAACAAATGAACATTTTTATCTGACGGGTTGACCATCAAGTCTATTGCAGACTGCACGTCAACTTTTCTCAGAAAATAAAAGGCTCCATGAAATGTGGGAAACTTACATCATGTTTGGACCTTTATTGGAGGGTCTGACTAGGCCCTATTATTTTAGAATTCCAGGCAAGTTCAGCTTTGGACAAAACACTCCCTCTTTAAGGAAGAAAACCTCAGAGAGAGTCTGTAGGCCTACATTTAAAGCAGAGACGAGCACACCCATGTCTTAGAAATGCAATGGTGAAGTGGGTTTCGGCCGACAAAAGAGGCACCGGGGTGTTGGAGGATGTCATTAATTAAGGCCGCCTTCTGTTACGGTTTTTGTTGCAGCATGTAGGCTTTGTTTTTGTACAGGGCTTGGGACATAATAAAGCCCTGCTCATTACATGGATTAGTTACAGAATCACCCATTGTTCAATTTGGATTGGACAACATCTTCCGAACATTAATTTACCCGGCAAGTTGGCCTAAACTCTGTAATTTGTATAGCTCCCCCAAATCACAGCTTTTTCAGAATCATAATTTCACACAGTCAGGTTTTATCCCCAGATGCACTGAAGTTTGTGAACACTGTTGTAAAGCTATCATGTACCATCAGTGATGTATCCAGATTTGGGTGAGACATTTTCTTTTCCAAATGAAAAAAAAAAAATTGACTGTCATTTTTAGAAAAAAAAAGTACCCCCCCCCGAGCAAAAGCCTGGGTATACCACAACATCCTCTTGATCATTGTATTGTTAAAGCAGTTGGCTATCAAACTTGATCTTATAAATTAACTTAAGAATTTTTTGAGTGGTTTATTTGTGAATGATTGCTTTGAATAGGCTTATTCCATCAGATCAAGATTTACCATAAAACTGCATAATTCATGAACATTTGAATGTATTTACGAAATTCATAAACAAATAACCATACACAAAAGATTAAAAAACCAAATCGAAACTGAAACAAACAACGTCTGTTTATAAATATCCATAAAGTTGTCCTATTTTTATTTTATTAGTTAAACCTCAGTATCACAAAATATACAATGTTCCACTAAATGCTACATCATACATGTATACAGTGCATCTACAATACGTGTGGGCCAGTGCAGCGTACTACCGGTATATAGACCATCGTCCTCTGTATTTTAAAAGCTATAGTGCGATTTGTTCTACATGTGTTGTTCCTACAGATAGATAATACTGTTTCCATTTCTGATACATTTACACGATGGTATAGCACGCTCAGAAAGAAGCCTAACTTGGCAGTCCTTGAAATACAAAAATAAGCATATGTTGCTAATATCCTGGTATGCCCAACAATCTTGGGGGGGGGGGAAGAGGGGGAAGGAAAGTCCAGAAAAATAACCGTGGACATTTAATGCATGGGCTGTCAGGCAATAATTAGCAGTCAGTCAACGATAATCCTCACCAAATGCTCAGGTGTTCCCCGGGACCTGGGGGTTCTACAGTGCACATTCATTTGGGTGATGCGCTTGTGGGGACAGACAGCACACGTGATGGGGCTGGGCTGGCCTTTAAGGGGATCATTTCCTTTGGTGAGAAAATCGGAACCAAGTGTTGTGCCCACAATGCTTTCGGTCCCCACAATGTCTGAAATTTCAACACCTGTAGTCCCCATAACCCGGCCGCAAGAAAGAGTGTTCTGGTGGGCGCCTCCATTGATTTGTGTTAGGGTGATAATCCCGGGCTGGGACACAAGGTCTAATTGCTAAAATGCTTGATAAGAACAAAATTCAGAAGTTAGGCTGAAAACTACAGATTGAATGACGGATGACAGATTAAGTGTAGTTGTGTCCATTCCACTGCTTCTTAAAACTGGATTTTGGGAACCATCCAAAAGTGAAGATTATGACTGACTGACCAACTTTTCAAAATTAAATCTCTTATGTCTATATCATCACCATTCTTAAAATCACCACTTCCATGTTTGAAAGTTTTGAAGTGGTACGATTCAAATACAGTGAAACTGTTTTCTTGCTCCATGGTTGAGAAACATGGTTCTGCAGGAAAGACGAGCCTGATAAACACCAATTCAGGTATTCTTCGTAAGCATGAAACTTTACCCTTGACATCACCATGCAACTGTAAAGCCTTATCAATAAACCATGGAAATAACAGTTAATAGCTCTAAGAAGCAAGGAATTAAATGATTATTTCACTTCCACAACAAAAAGCAATTTAAACACTTTCTTCAAGGAAACTCTTCAACTTCATTCTGAAACTGAGCAGAAACTCTGCAACCTGCATTTGTGTTAATCACAGTGTGAAAATTCTTATAAAAACAATATTCCTACTCAAACGGAAAAAAATGGCCGGCCTGAATGTATCATAAATGTCCAACTCCTGTGGCTGACAAAGTTGGCAGTATTATTTAGTCTAGTAGGCAGTTTTAATAGAGCTCTGGTGATATGCACACTGTACAAGTTCTGTACATTAAGACCACTGTATACACTCAAACCCAGGTCACAGATCCTTGCATCTCACAGTTATTTCGTATTGACGGCATTCAAAGTTACACTTATTTACATAAATTTACTTTCCTTTGGCTTGCTGTGGTCATCTGACCAGAAATATGGTAAATTTCTTTTTTTTTTTGCTGTACAATACAAAACACAACTCAATGCAGTATTCTTTTCTTCAAGCACACATATGCAAAATAAAGAAAAAATGAGCAAACTCAAATGCTGAAAGACTGTTACGAAAAAAGAGCAATAAATACAAACTGAGTAAACCTTGGGGAAAGCTATCAGCTGATTTGTACATATTTTAAAGAATACTAAAGCAAAGTATGCCTTAACTGTCCAATTTTGGCCGTTAGTAAAACTTCAACTAAAATCTGTATCTATCTAGTGCTAATAGTCGCATTTTCAAAAAACTGCTAGTAGTACATCTTAATACTGCATACTGGCAATGGATGTCATGGCAGTGCACATGAAATAGTCGATAACTATGGTGAGCCTAAAATTGCTACCATTGGTTCGATGCTCAACACTGCAGCACTCACATATCAGTACAGCTTAATACTGTGTCCACCAAAAACGAAACAAAAACCAAACAGTTTCTAGTATAAATACTGCCGGATTAGGTCTAAATTAAAACTAACATGCAAAACAAAGTTTATATCATTAATATCATGAAAATATTTGGGTTGAACAATAAATAAACGGTGACGCCTTGAAAAGAAAGAGCAACACAAAAACATGAGCCATTTTAAGTTCTTTACCGGTGGATAAAGTAGACAAATTCTTTCAGCTGAACAAAACAAAAACATTTTTTATTCTGTACAGCTGCAGTTTTCTGTTCATGCTGCATAGTCATGTGGGCTTTAAGCCAACAAGGACTAAATTGTCTAAATGCCATGAACTGGTGGGGAATCCAAGTCCACCTCTGTCCAGAAAAAGCGGTTTGTTCTTCATGTCAAAAACAGTGGGACTAAGGGCACTGATACACAAGAAACCACACAGAATAAGCAGGCTTTTACATTTCAACTTGCTGCACTGGGACAAGTGTTTGTGATATACACTGCCGGTTGGTATTACATGTACAATGTATCTACACATGATATCTTTAAATACGCTTATATACACACATGAACTACATGGAGTTATGTTTTAAATCTGACAGAGAGTAAATGTACACATCATTAAATACAGAAACACGTCTTTACTTGATGGAATTGTACACGTCCTCCAGTGGAAGTTTCTGAGAACTTTGGAAGGTTTTTGTTTGTGGCAGGAAATGTTTCGACACGAAAGACCAAACATAACAGATACACGTTGGTATATACAAATCCTTTCCACTAACAGTCTTCATTACTTGCTCATGTGCAATAAATATGTATACTTCACAGCAATTATACGATTTAAAAAACTCATATGATTTGATTTCTTGCACCATAAGCAACTTCAAAAAGATTTGTTGACATTTAGTGAGGGAGCTAGTGCACATTTTGGACAGTCACAAGTTTCATAATTTCTGTAAATATAAAGTCCATTAAGTAAACCACACATCCCCTATCTGTACACCAGGAAACAGAACTTGATTTTGCAGAAATATGGGCAGAACATAACACTAAAGGTTTCAAATGGAATTTAAAAAAATTACCCTGTCAAGGAAGACTTAATTCAGAACACTGCATTTTTCCTAAAATTAAAAAACAAACAAACAAAACACAATTACAAGCTTGCAATCGGCAGAAATCCCTGAGAAACTTAGCAATAAACAACTATAACTGAGCAGCTTCCTAAAACACTGCAAGCTAACTGGGAAGAGAATCAACTGGAAATTGCCAGGGCAGGTCTCTCAAAAACATTTGGCAGCCAGTACAAAATAGCCGAGTTATTTTTTTCTATTTCAAAGCAGAGTGTGGCAAAAGCGGGAAGGAAAGGAAATCAGTGAAATGATTAGTTTTTTCCTCAAAAAAATGCAAACCAGACGAGTTTTTGAAGCCGGTGATAATTTCTACCATCATTTTCTCCAAAAAGAAAGTTAAATTAGAACTAAAAAGAACCTGAAATTCAATTTCCCCAATACTTCTTGATGTCTAGTGTCTTGGTGTGATGCTGAAATACCTACGAAAAGATATTAACGAAATGATACCTGTTGTTTTAAGTATCTTCTGGAAAGCAAGTTAAATCGAAGTTCTTGGCTGAATTCATGTGGGCGTTGTTCTAAGCATGGTTTGGTGAGATTGAGAGCAGCGTTGCAACTGTCACAGTGACCAGTGACAGATTGCTGGCAGTTCAAGAGTAGAAGCCCCCCTACCTACATCATGGATCAGTCTGGCTTCAACGTGTCCCCAAAAATTGATGGGCAATTTTCGGGAGGGCATTGGCAAAATATGCTCCTGTTGGTTTGGGCAGCAAAAATATGACAGATGACATTGTAAATGTGTGGTTTGCGTGCCAGGGCCAGTAGTGGGAATGGCTCTCAGATTATTAATGATGACATGCTTACCATTTGAGTAATTCCCACATCCATCACTCATCAAGGTGAATTTTGTTTCCAAAGTGGAAGAGTTTACACTTTTCCTCCCCTTTTTTTATTTGTGTATGAAAATCAAATGTTCTCACCCAGCGATGACGAGATTCCAGGGGTCAAGAGAGTTGAATAAAAAGTGCAAGTGGATCTAGTCCTGTCATTGATGAATCTATGCCAGAAACTAGAGATAACTCCTCTGAAGGTTAAGAGATCTCTGTGGCCTGGAGTTAGAAGCACTTTGTAAACTCTAAGTTAAAGAGCCTGAGCACAATACTTCATTGTCTTCATTTGTTTATATGCAACCCCATTTGGCTGTTGGTCAGACCACTAGAGAAAACAATGCCATTTGTCTACCGGTGGCTAGTCATATGTATTTATCCTGCTCTTGTACTTGTATTTTTTATTTCAGGATATAGACCCTGCATATGGAAAAGAAAAGTGAATCAAAATGGCTTTCATGAGATGCAGGACAGTTTGATGTTACTTTTATAGATGGCTGTTCATGTACTTCCACGCTTTCAACTTGAACAACACTTGAAAATCACCCAAGATATTAACACTTTGGGGAACAATTTGTTCTGGGATTTTCTTTTAAATATTGCCAAAAGATAAATGTAAAATGTTACTATAACTTGTTTTAATGTTAATTCTTGATGTTCCAGCATGTCCTGTTTCAATTATCTCTCTGCTTATGGCAGATCATCCACTCATTAAATATAAGTAATCTACACGGTTAGAATAAGTTAACATTTACCAGTGTTAAGTATTGAGAATTTCGTCTTCAGATGTTACTGAGTGGTTTTACTATAAATATTATATACGCAATAAGTTATACAAGTGGCTGTTTAAAACATAAATAATGGTTAATTGGACAGCATATACATAGCAGGTAATTCCTGTCAATCAGTCTGATGATAACCCTGTGTCCAAAGTAAACATTTTCACTGTTTGGCGCATTGTCTTCTAGAAGAGTTAATCTAATACACACTTCGAAATTAGTTTGTTAGTAACGAAAGGAAAGGTAATTAATACAGCTTTTACAAGCAAACGTGTGGATAAACATAAAGAATGCATTTAATTTTAAAAATCACACACTCTGGTGTTCAAATACTGCAGCAAAAACACAGAAAAAGAACTAACAAAACGTTACAAGCACTTTAACCTACAATGAACAATTTGTCACTATCATAGTTGTTGATACACAAACACCTGTTCTTTTCTCTTCTTAGTTTTGAGAGGCTACAGACTCTGGAATCTGGTCTCTGCTGTCATGACTCAGGTCACTACCCTTCATGATGACAGAGTTGGAGTTCTCTGGAATGCGTGCATGTCCCATTGAGGAATGGTGGTTCTGGATGACCGAAATTTCGTTGGCCTTGGACATGGCAGCTGCATAGCCATTCATGATGGGTGGGGGATACTGGAAGAATGCCCCCTCGTACATTGGCCGCAAGCCAAACATGTCTGGCCGGAACATTTCGCTGTCCTTGGGGCTCCTCATGAGTGGAGCCTCCACAGATATGCGCCGCCCTCGCCGGGTGGGGCCGCCGTTCCACATGTGCGTTCCCAGGTGCACCTTCAGGTTGCCTTTGGTGGTGAATGCACGCCCACATATGTGGCACTTGAAGGGCTTCTCGCCAGTGTGGGTGCGCATGTGAATCTGGAGGGCACTGTCTGATTGGAACTGCTTGCCGCAGACGTGGCAGCTGTGCTTCAGCCGCTTGGTGGGAGAAGGGCAGCTGGAATTCGAAATGGAACGCTTCAGTGAGGGCTGGGATGGGGGGATGGGCAGGTCAGAGGGGTGTGGCTTCTGCAGGCTGGGATAGAGCTTCTGCTGTATATCAGGAGGGTAATTGTTATTATTTGGAGAATGCTGCTGTTGTTGCTGTTGCTGCAGTGGCTGGCTGCAAGGTAGTGCCAAGTGATGCTGACTGCTAGGCGAAGTGCTCTGTTGTTGGCTACCTGGGGACTTCATCTGACTACTTGGAGGTATCTCCTGACCACAGTCAAAGGGAGAAGATGGTCGCTGGGGGTTGAGGGGTGAGATTTTCTGTGGAGAACCAAGTGGTGAAGGAGGCAGCTGCTGCTGCTGGGCCTGTGGTGAGTGCTGTTGCTCAGGACCCAATGGAGATGGTTCCCGCTGGATGAATGACCGAGGAGATGTTCTCTGCTGCTGTTGTTGGTACTGGTGCAAGGCCATCTCAGCAGCAAAGTTTGAAATGCCAGGCATCAGCATGGGATGTGACGGTGGCTGCAAATGGTGCATGGGGTGCATCATCTGCTGCTGCTGCTTGTAATGGGGGTGTGAGGGGTCAAGGATCTGGGTGGGCATGTCTCGTATTTTGTGCGTCAGCATGTGCTGACGCAGATTGCCTTTAGTCGAAAATCCCTTGGAGCATATCTCGCACTTGTAGGGTCGCTCCTTTGTGTGGCTCCTATAGTGGATATTCAGGGCACTGCTGCATGCAAAGGACTTACCGCAATAATGGCAGGTGGTGTTGGATCCGTTGCTGCGTGTGGAACCATAGGATGCATCTGGCATCAACAGTCCAGCACTGCTTCCATTTAATCTACCATCACCCGGATGGGGGAAGCCCAAGGGAAACAAGTGGTGGCTGTTGTTGACTTGATTCTTCAGGGCCTCCAGGCTGTTTTCGCTGCTCCCTGAGGAAACCGACTTGGGGGTTAGGTCCAGAGCCCCATTGTTGTCCGTTCTGCTAGTGTCAATCTTGAGGGGTGCTCGATGGAGATTATTCTGTTGGAACTTTATGCTGTCTGGACGGTTCTTTTGCTCATCAAAAATGCGTCTGTGCTCACCCCTGTACTCGTCTGAAGGACCCCTTGGCTCATCATTTCTGCCATTCTGCTCATCAGAATTGATTTTCTGCTCAAATTCATTTCCTTTACCTCTACTGTCCTCCAGTTTGCCATGGAGCTCCTTGGGATGTGCTTCACACAGTTCATCTCGGTGTCGTCTGAAGTCATCTTGGTGGTTTCTTATATAATTAGGCTGAAGTTTAATATCATCTGACTGCCCTGTAAGTTCACTGGAATGACTCCTTGAAACACCACTGTGATGATTTACAAGTTCATCGAAGTGCCGCCTCATATCTTCTTGACTTGTTCTCGGGTCATCCTTGTGATCATCAGGACTTGGAGATGCTTGGTCAGATGCCAGAGAGCCTTCTTGGCTTTTGTCTGAGGGGGACTGAGGACCTGGATTAGGAAGACGGCCAATGAGCTGTCTGTGGTGATTCTCTGCATTGCTACTTGCTTGAAGATGTAGGGCTGAAGCTATGGAATCAATACCTTTTGTGTAGCTTGGCTGGGGTTCTGAGGATAGGGAGGCTGCTCTGCTGCTGTCATCAGAGAGGTAGGATGGAGGGGAGGCAGACTCACCTGTGGCAGGCACTCCTGGTGACTCTTCAACTTCCTTCCCCATCCAGTCCATACGAATTTCCTTATTTACATCAATTATCCTCTCCATGTGTCTGGCTCTGTCCCTCATGTGGATCTTTTGGGTGTGGCCCATATCTTGTTCGGAGGCAGTTTGGATTTGTTTGAGACTTCTTGTTTCATCTGGCAAGCCATTGTGGAGTTCATCTCCTGCACCTTCTGGTTCAGAAAAGCCTTCAGGTGAGGATTCCAGTTGAGAACCCATCTCATTGAGCCTGGCTGCCTCTTCACTTTCATCCTGGTCAAGGACCTGGTTTTCCTCATTCGACAGCTCTTCAGCAAACCTGTCTTCAGCATAGTGCTCAAATGCAGACAAGTCTTGGGGAATCGGAAAGCCCTCGGCAGCATGCATGCGGAGGTGCTGCTGCAGCACTAAGACATTACTGAACCGCTTTTGGCAAATGGGACAATCGTGGAACATCCTGAGAGGAGGTTTGGCACGATGGACACTGTAGTGTGTCTTCAGGTTACCCTTGGTGGTGAAGGAGCGCAGACAGACACGGCACTTGTATGGCCGCTCACCAGTGTGGATCCTGTAGTGCATTTGCAGGGCACTCTTGCAGCTGAGAACCCGGTGACAAATGACACACTGATTGGAGTCGCTTATCTTCTGCTCGATATTCTCAACTAACTTTTGCAGTTTAGAGGTCTCTGATGGCCGGACTCCTTGCTCAGCCAGGACAGCCAGAGAAGATGGAGTCTCCATTCGGGAAGTGAGAGTGGGGGCGGTGGTGAACATTGAGGAAGATTCAGACATGATTTGACTGATGGAGTGAGCAAAGCTTGAGGTCATTGGGGCAGAGGAAAATGTCAGGGGCCTTTCCGGAGTTGGTTGAGGGGACACAACAGCACTGGTATCTGATGTCTTAGGTTCTGATTCTGCCTTGGGAAGGACAATATCTGAGACTGATTTGGGACGTCCATCTTCTTGACTCTGCTGCTCAAGGGAATTGTCACCAGAGATACTGTTTGAGGCAGAGTTAGACCCACTGGCCTGCGATGTGGGTGTTCCAGAGTGGAAAGAGGTTGTGGCATCATTTGATGGACGACTCATGTCACCTGGAATCGTTGGAAGGGGAACCTGCTGAATGGATGGAGACTGGATTGGGAGACGCTCATTTGGCAGAGGAGGAGAAGGTGGGTGAGGAGTAGTGTCCATTTTGACATGAGGGTACCGATCCACATGCCTCTGGAAGTGCACTTTGAGGTTCCCCTTAGTGGAGAATCGGTTGCCACATATATTACACTTGAATGGTCGCTCACCTGTGTGAGAGCGAATGTGGATTTGAAGGGCACTGTCACTGCCAAAGACCTTGTGGCAGAAGCGGCACTTATGCCGGAAGAATGGATCATCCGAGGGAAATTTGGTGTCAAAGACCGCAACATTTGGAGGCTTCCCCTTTCGCTGAAGCATCATGGATGGTGCAAAGGGAAGCCTAGGTGGGGCCTGTAGAAGCTGACTTGAGGCTGGTGGCATGACGCCCTGCTGCTGCAACATATCAAATGGTGGCCTTGGGGAGGCCATAGGGAAGGACACAGGAGGTACAATAGAGGGTCGTAATGGCAGCGACGGCATCATCTGTTGGGGCAGTGGTCGAGGCAGTGAATCGAAGGGATGGATGAGGTGGGGTGAAGGCCCTGACGATGATGTTTGCTGGGACATTATCTGTGACTGCGACTCCACAGACGGGGTGAGGGGGGCTGAGGTAGTGGTAACTGGAGCAGCCGAGGTAACAGCAGGGGCATTTTTGATCTGCATAGCCAGGTTTTGCAGCTGCTGCTGGATATTTTGGATGAGCTGCAGCTGGTGAATGTGCTGTTGCTGCAGGTGGAACAGCTGGTCCTGGATGGATGCCATCTCTGGCTGATTGTGCACTGGATGTGGGAAGGGCCCCATGGGGAAGGGTGTACTCTCAAGACTCCCTGGTCTGGGCGGAAATACGGGGCGGCTCGACGGTGAACGGCAGTTCTCAACTGGGTGCTTCAGTTGGGTGTGCGACTCTTCATACTCCATAGAGTCCACACTCTGAGTTCTCCGCCTGTCTGGTTTGGAAGCCTTCAGGTCTTCCTCATGCAAGCCGTCATCTTGACCTGGCTGCTGCTGCTGGTCCCGGGGGCCATCAATTTGGGCTAAGTGGGCCTCCGGCTCCTCTGTCACAGATCGCTCCTCAAGCTCCTCTTGGTCATCATACGGGTCATCCGGCAGCTGCTGAAGCCCATTTAGCACCTGGTCATTATTGTTGTTGTGGTACACAGTCTTGGCAATCTCCTGGCCATACAGATTCTCCACGGACGGCGGACGGCTGCTGCTGTTACTCTCAGTCTGCAACTGGCCGTCATTGTTTATCACAACCACCACTGGTTTCTTGGAGCAGGTCTGCTTATGCTGCAGAAAATCGGAGGTAACTGAAAACTCCCCTCGACACTTCCCGCAGACATGGAGGCCTCCTATGATCACATCCTCATCTGTTTCTTCTGTGCTAGCAGTATTCAAGTGGTTCTCCTTGGCAGCACCTGCGATGAATTTGACAGAAATAAAAATGAGTTACAGGTACAAGAATGTTTATTGTTTAAAAGCTCAAAATAAGTTCTTATGTTAAGCTCTGATGACCCATCATAGGTTTTTTCATTTACAGAGTTTGATCTCTTAGCGAGAAACTACTTTGCAACTATGTAATTGAACAAGTCAAGACCCTATCTGGGAAGCTTTCTTTCCAATGCTCACAAATGGGTATTAAGAACAGGCAAGGCTTCTTTCATGACTGAAAGCTCACAAACTGATTGGAAGTAGAATGTGTTTTGCAATGTTTAAGTAGCAAAAAAGCATTGGGATAGCAAAAATGTATTAAACCACTGGAGAAATGCTGATGTAACTGGCCCAATATACACATAGTGCAGTGTGTCAATGATAAAAGTGATGCACGTACACAAAACAGCACTTCATGCTGCTCCAGATTTGTCCCCTCAAAGAGGTGAAGTGGAAGATTGATAAGGAAGCTTTAATGTAACCATCACAACTTCTCATGGACCATTATAACTATATGTACTGTGAGACTATCAACATCGACAATTTTCAGCTTTCCATGTTTTACTCTCTCAACCACAAAAGTGACAGGCGCCCTCATGTGAAGGTGTTTCAAGCACCACATCTATGCCTCCATCAAGCAAGTATTGCAGGTGTTTCGCTGGTTATTTCACATTCCAGTTTCTTTTTTTTCTCCAAATCTCTGCACAAAGAAAACCTGGGAAGGTTACTCAAACACTGCCCCTGTGTGCTTACAAATGGTGCCCATCATGTGCCAATTCATATTCTCGACTCCCCCCCCCCTCTTTTTTTAATTACAAATCTTCGGAGCACGGAATTCTATTAACTTGAACAAATTAGAGAATTTCCGTTTCAAGAGATGAATAATAAAGTGCCTTAAATTATTTTCCTCAGGGATTGCGGTCTGCCTAATTTCATTTCGGGATCCCTCTTAGGCTTTGCAACATGTTCATGGGGGACACTCTGTCCTCCGACAGGATGCCAATCAAGGAAAGATCAATATTCACCCTTAATCAAATTATTTTGGACGATTTGTGGAAAATACAGCCGTTAGAAGGAGACAAAAGAGAGACTAAAAAAAAAAAACCAAGCCTTGACAGTTTGATGCGTGTTTGTGGCAGCTTTGTTTTTCTAATCGTTAATGTGTATTCATCAGTAATTGGAAGCCAAACAAGGGGGGTGTTTCGTGTATAATGTGGTCTTTACTTTGGATTGAAACTAAAACTTAATACAGAGTTCTCATTTCAAGCACTCTTAAGCCTTCCCTATGACAAGAAACACACTTTCAAGGTAGGAGTATTCCCTTTAAATTGCATGCCCATGAGATTTCAGCCAGGGGATGTCCAGGCATAGTTTGCACACACTGCAGGCAATTTTTGGCACTCATTTTCTCGTGAAAGTGGGTGCAAATATATTAATCTTTGGAACTTGGATGCCCCGTTTTTCAAATAAAGGCATGTATAATCACGCTTTTCTCAAATGCTGGTTAGAGCACTATTAAACAAAGTACTGCGCCAAAGAGTTTGGGCACAGAGTTTGAACAAGTAGCCGGTTCGCCAAATGCATCCCGCAGTCTTTTGAATGCATGCTTCAATATTTTCCCTCCACATGGCCTGTTTGCTCAATACATGTACATAAGAGAAGCCTTATTAAGTCATTCCTGGATTTTCTCCCCCCATCTATTCATTCCCCCCTCCCGAACAATGCATTTTAAGAATGCAGGATTTTCTTGTCTGAGGCTTAATGCAAGTTGTTAAATGTCCAGTCCAAGCCAAGCCACCTCTGTTATGTTATGCTCTCGTGCAGCACAATGGGTCTTCGAGATAATTGTTACTTTTTATACTCTGCAGCCTTTGTGAAGTTCCACCCAAAATGACATCAACAAAGGCCGGAAGGCACCAAAAAAACAGCGAAAAAAGAGCCTTGACTCCCTTTTGCATACTGAAACTTCTCTGCTTTTCAGCCAGCTGACAAAAGCCAAATTGGCCAGCTATTTTTTTTTTTGGCCCCTCATCCACTGTCCACGCCTGGACACAAAAGTCTTCCCTTCTGCTCCGCTAGCTTGCAAATATTTCATGTACAATTTGCAGATGCCGGCTTAACCCAGGGGGACTCTGTTGACCACTTTTTTTCCCTTCAATTCACGCACTTATGGCCAATTATGAGACAGGCATTTTGGAGTGACAAACAGGATGAGCTATAGGGGCATTAACTGGGTTTTCATGCCCACAAAGTCGACTTCTTTCAAGAGGAGGGGGCAAAGACCCCTGACTTCAAGCTGGTAGTGAGGCAGGGACCACTGATTATCACACCATTCACCCCAATGACCACAATAATGTGTTTGTTCGGATTATTTTCACATGAATGCTCTTGTTACACAAAAGGTTTATCTATTTCCAACATTCACTCTTGACAATATAATGCAAACACCATTATTCAATGCAAACTTCTCACCATTTTCCCAACAAAATGCTTCATAAAATGAAACCTTGAACCTCAAAAACAAAACAGCAGTAACTCCCAATTTCGAGCTTTTCTTACAACACTGGAACTCATTTAATACAACACAAATCCTTGACAAAAGTCTGCCCAAAGAGGCTGAAATCAGCAGCAAGCCTTTGGTATCCATGAACCAGCCCAAGTCCCCCTCAAATTATAAAGAAGTCTACTTGAAAACATTGACGCTACAGAGGCCCCCCCCGTCATTAATATGCGACACGGCTGCCAAGTTGCAACCAACATTGATCCCCCTCGCTGCCTCTCAGCCATTCAATTTTCTCCACTCCCCGACAGTAGCCACATCTCAACCACTCAAAAGCAAACTGGCAAACAACTTGGTTTGTTGTGTGGATAACATTACCAGGGCTCAGGGCGATTTTGAACGCAAGGATCTTTCAGAAGGAGATATGTAAATGCTGTGCTTTAGCTGATCATTCCAAGCTCTATTGGACCCTCCCCCATGCTTAACTATATGTACCGCTGCATCTTGTTCCTAGCTAGGAACATTTATTTTTCATCAGGGAAATTTTTCATTTTACAACCTCTGTAAAGAGGTAAACAAATGGGTAAGTTTTGTTTTCATGGGCTTGTATTACAATTCTGTGATCTCCAAAGAAGTGAAGTGGTTGAAACCATTCCAAATGAAGGCTTAATTTTGGATGTTTGCGCAGGTATGGAGCCATAGGGCCTGTAAGTCCATGGTAACACTAGCAGCAAATACATGTACATGTACACATTATATTCAGCTGAGGCTCATCTTGTAAGTCTTGTGACTTTATAATAACTGAGTTGTGTGTCCAGATAACTCATTCCTCATAGGGTTGATTTACGGCATTTGGAACAACACCATGGACTTCATGTCCTTGGAATATGTCCCCCAAATTTCTTTTTGATGTCTCGAAAATGAATTGTCTACAAGATTCATAAGCGGTGAAATGTAGTCCCACATGATGGCTGCTGAATTCTGGAGTTTTTGACACCATCAATCAGCACGTTGAGGTTCTGCAATCATTCTTAGATGACACATGCTTCCAGTGAACAGTGCACTGCCAGGAGAGGGTGGAAATGCTGACATCCATAATGTGCACAGTGCAAGACATTATGCAAACAAACCTACGACCTCTGGTCAACTTCATCAAGGAGTGAATTAGCAAAAAGCACTGAATTCCGCACTAACAAAAAAATTTCAAACTGGCAAACAAACTCTGCAGATTGTCGGCCAGTAAAGCAATACACACAACAGGCCATTCTGGCTGGCAAACCAGGTTTTTGCTCAGCAGATATTATCCATGCTTAGCATAAGTTTGCATTCATTTGCTCACTGAAATTGGCCTCAGACAATTCAGCCGACCAAAGTGCTTTGAATGTGGATCACAAGAGCCGGTCATTCATTTGACCTACATGTACATGTACGATGATCATGACCTGCATGAGTGAATGTGCATGTACACAACAGTCACGGGGACAGGAGGGAGTTGGCCATCTTCACAGTACCATAATCAGTGGCTGGTGTTCAGATTCTGAATAGTTGGTCTTGTAGGAGGGGAGACGGACATTAAGCTCAAAACTTCTGAGTGAATTTCTTGCTTTAAGACCTGACTGGCCCCTCCCACACATAACGAGTCATGATTCATGGTACTAATTTGGAAGTTAAATGTGAGTGGGAGGGGGGGAAGCAGAGGGATGCTGGCTGTGAGAACAAGGTTGAAAGACAGCATGCATATGTGTCTCCGCAATGCAAGGCACTGTGCTTGTGTGCAGAGGTATTAACGTCAATCTATGGACTGAAGCCAGAACAGGATATTTCTGTCATCAATTGGTAATGATAAATAATCCAGATTTTACACAGTGCAAAGGGGGAAAGTGCTTCATAATGCTCCAGAAAGTCACAGGCAAAATAGGAGGAAGCAAGCCTACTGAAATAATTCTATATCCGGTCTTCGTGTACAGATGCGGCTTTAAATGTAACTCTTAAAGGAAAAGTTTATTTACCTTGGTGCTAGATTCAGGAATTTATGCCAAAAGATCGCACCAGACTCCAAAATTGACATGACTTCGGGGCAGTGGCAAGCTGTGAAATTTACATGACACAAAATCCTGTCCAGGGCAAAGCAAAGAGATACTCAATAGAGAGCCACAGGTGGTGCCAAGAGTGGGCTCTGATTCACAGCTTCCCTGTTCCCAAAGTCAAAAACTTATCCTCTCCCAACATGTATTCATCTATCCATCATCACCTGTGATTCATGTGTTGCTCAAGTGGGCTTGGTATCATTCTTATCTCTTAGGTAGCGCCAAAATCATGAAATGAGACACACCACACCCATCAACATTTTGAAGGGCATGTAAAGCGACAAATTCATGTCAAAGCAATGTGTCTAATAGTAACACATTTGGCAATTTAAAAAGAACTGTAACCAGCTGTTTGGTTTAAAGTTTTAAGAAAAAAAGAAAAAACATTTCTGGCAGTCAG